AGGTACCAAACATTGTGAAAGAAAAGGTACCAAACATTGTGAAAGAAAAGGTACCAAACATTGTGAAAGAAAAGGTACCAAACATTGTGAAAGAAAAGGTACCATACATTGTGAAAGAAAAGGTACCATACATTGTGAAAGAAAAGGTACCATACATTGTGAAAGAAAAGGTACCATACATTGTGAAAGTAAGTAAGTAGTGCAATAAGTTAACCACCTTCAGCAAGGGTCTCGCTTCTAGACTTCACTAGATAATACAAGTTTTATATACGACAAAAAATATTCACGACACTTCATTATAGCAACCTTTAATTTTAATATAAATCTCTTTGAGTATTACTTTTAACCCTTGAACAGCGACTATGGAAAAATGGCCTTACCTATGTATGTGCCAAAAAATATAAAAATTCCAAAAAATAAGTTTTCCATTATAGAATTATTGATTGATATACAAAAAGTAAGAAAATGTAAAAATAAGTAAATATTTATCTTTGTACTGGGTGGAGTTACTGTGAAAGATTGCACGGTAACTATGTGCTGTAGAGTCTCTCAACACACCATGCTGACTTTGCCGACACTGAGGAATGTGAGACACGTATGAGACGGTGAGTGTCCTGCTCGGATGTTTCATTGATTACTACTAGTCTCTCTTTATTTACTAATGTGTGTGTGTAATTACCTAAATGTAATTACCTAAGTGTAGTTACAGGATGAGAGCTACGCTCGTGGTGTCCCGTCTTCCCATATATATTGTGTGTGTGTGTGTGTGTGTGTGTTTTGAATACCTTGATAAATCACATAATTCACATACTGCATTATAATGTTTCAACTGATGATTGGTTTACCTGGTATGATTCATTACAAACCATACAGAGTAGTGCAAACCATATAAACAATGTATATGGGTGTTGAACACTGGGCGATGACATGGGGCCTAAGTGGTACCATATGGGCGACAGTACAGATAGAACTGAGAGGCGTAAGCCACTAATGATTCACCCACAGATGACGGCAGGTTCCTAGTGTACTGTACACACAGTGCATGACAACGGTTCAATTGATGATTGGTTTACCTGGTTCACACACACATTACAACCATATGGAGTTGTGAAAACCACGTGAACATCATCGGTATACATATGACGCAATTATGACGGAATTTCATACAATGACAAGGACTACACTGACCTAGTAACATTTATGATGATAACCGCTTCACATAATAATGTACCCATAATACGATAGCAGGATTTTTTCGCGGTTCAAAGTAAACTCTATTACATCTACACACACAGCTTTTACATCGATATTTGCATCATGCATAAACCCAGACAATACTGCAATTGTTTAAATCAGCCTATGATGATAACTGCATTACCCTGTGAATCCACACGCGAAAATAACCGCTGTCTAAGGGTTAAACAATCTCAATTGGCTATATGTAGGAAGACCAAGTTAATACCTCTACCATGACCAAGGAATTTGTAGTTTTACTTTCTTTAACCCAACATCCATTTTTAGGCCTATCTGTTCTATCCAAAGTGTGTACTTCAATACTTGAAAATTGGAAGATTTATACTAATATCAAGTTAGTTGTTAACTCGAGACTTATTTGCCCGCAGAATTCCAAATACTTAAAATTGTTAAAACTATTTAGCAAAATTTTTTTATTGAAAATATGGAACTGACAACACAAAGTCTTGAAGCCGAGATATTTGTAATTATAAGGAGATGAATTATTTACATCTGCTCATTTAACTCATTCCTCGGTCACCACTAATTTACAATTAAAAATTTGTTTCTGCACATAATCAGAATTACTACTGTATAATGTAAATTTTGCTACCGAGATTAATGTTCTTATTTAATTGAATACAAAATAATATTTATGAGCCTGTGCGTGAAATATTTGAAAGAAAGTTTAATGTATGCAAAAAGATTGTTTTGTAATATATATATATATATATATATATATATATATATATATATATATATATATATATATATATATATATTATATATATATATATATATATATATATATATATATATATATATATATATATATATATATATATATATATATATATATATATATATATATATATATATATATATATATATATATATATATATATATATATATATATATATATATATATATATATATATATATATATAATATATATATATATATATATATATATATATATATATATATATATATATATATATATATATATATATATATATATATATATATATATATATATATATATATATATATATATATATATATATATATATATATATATATATATATATATATATATATATATATATATATATATATATATATATATATATATATATATATATATATATATATATATATATATATATATATATATATATATATATGTCGTACCTAGTAGTGAGAAAGCACTTCTCGCCCAACTATGCAAGGCCCGATTTGCCTAATAGACCCAAGTGATTTTCTTTGTTTTCAAAAAATTGCTTCCAATGGGGTTACTTGAATTACTATTATTATAATATATTAAGAACATAAATTATTGACTTAGTTATGTTAGTTTAAGTTAGGTTAAGATAAGTTAGGTTAGGTCGAGTAGGTTAAGTTTGGTCATATATCTACGTTAATTTTAACTAAAATTAAAAAAAAAAAAACTCATACATAATGAAGTGGATAGCTTCATCATTTCATAAGAAAAAAAATTAAGTATATAAATTCAGGAAAACTTGGCTTATTAGACAAACCAGGCCTTGCATAGTAGGCCAAGTACTGCATTCTGGCTACTAGGTATAACACACACACATATATATATATATATATAATTTGACTTATCATTAGTTCATGACTACAAAAGAACACAAAAACCTTGAATAATGTGAACTTGAAGTAAAGACAAGAGCGGCGTGCAACCATTTGTTTCCACCAACAAACATTTTTTAACTACGTCGGAAATCATTTTTTGGTTAAAACAACTTAAAAGCAATTGCTATCTTATACATATATACAATTTTATATATATATATATATATATATATATATATATATATATATATATATATATATATATATATATATATATATATATATATATATATATATATATATATATACATACATACATACATACATACATACATACATACATACATACATACATACATACACACACACACACACACACACACACACACACACACACACACACACACACACACACACACACACACACACGTGCACACACACACACGTGCACACACACACACGTGCACACATGTGAGCAAGTGCATGTGTCATATTTCATATTAGCATAAAGCTGAAGGCAGCTCTTAACACACCTGCCAACACACAGGAAGAATAAAGGAAGCGACATTGTAATAACTGAAACAAGACTCATGTCACTGCCATTAACATTAAACATTTAGTACACACTTCAAAATAATTACACATCATATTATAATCTCAAAACACGGTATTACTGACCATTTTGTCAAACGTCAAACTTTGTTACTACTGTAAAGGGAAGACTGGATATGGTCTATGGTATAGAATACCTCTGACCGTGGCAGTACACTAGTGGCTATATATTAGCTTCATATACATCAAAGATTTGTTTAATGCAATAAGAGCACGAAATACACACGTGAACATATTACGAACTACAAGCAAACACAAGACTCCCAATCATTTTATATAATAATTCAATAAAAACTATATGAAGCTTTCAACACCACAAGTTCCTGCCATGAATGAAACCTCACACATTATGCATAGAAGGAGTCATAACTTAAAAAAAAAAAAATGGACTTCCAATAGGTGAATGTAATTTATACACATTACATTCATGTGAAGAGATGGGTAAAACTGTCAATGTATGTATGTATGTGTATGTGTATGTATGTATGTATGTATGTATGTATGTATGTATGTATGTATGTATGTATGTGTGTATGTGTGTGTGTATATATATATATATATATATATATATATATATATATATATATATATATATATATATATATATATATATATATATATATATATATATATATATATATATATATATATATATATATATATATATATATATATATATATATATATATATATATATATATATATATATATGTCGTACCTAGTAGCCAGAACGCACTTCTCAGCCTACTATGCAAGGCCCGATTTGCCTAATAAGCCAAGTTTTCTTGAACTAATTGTTTTTCGACTACCTAACCTACCTAACCTAACCTAACCTAACTTTTTAAGCTACCAAACCTAACCTAACTTATAGAGATAGGTTAGGTTAGGTTAGGTAGGGTTGGTTAGGTTCGGTCATATATCTATGTAAATTTTAACTCCAATAAAAAAAATTGACGTCATAAATAATAAAATGGGTAGCTCTATCATTTCATAAGAAAAAAATTAGAGAAAATATATTAATTCAGGAAAACTTGGCTTATTAGGCAAATCGGGCATTGCATAGTAGGCCGAGAAGTGCGTTCTGGCTACTAGGTACGACATATATATATATATATATATGTCGTACCTAGTAGCCAGAACTCACTTCTCAGCCTACTATTCAAGGCCCGATTTGCCTAATAAGCCTAGTTTTCATGAATTAATGTTTTTTCGACTACCTAACCTAACCTAACCTAACTATTTCGGCTACCTAACCAAACCTAACCTTTAAAGATAGGTTAGGTTAGGTTAGGTAGGGTTGGTTAGGTTCGGTCATATATCTACGTTAATTTTAACTCCAATAACAAAAATTGACCTCATACATAATGAAATGGGTAGCTTTATCATTTCATAAGAAAAAAATTAGAGAATATATATTAATTCAGGAAAACTTGGCTTATTAGGCAAATCGGGCCTTGCATAGTAGGCTGAGAAGTGCGTTCTGGCTACTAGGTACGACATATATATATATATATATATATATATATATATATATATATATATATATATATATATATATATATATATATATATATATATATAAGAAAGGCATACAGTTATACCCACAAACTTAATTCCAAACACAGAGAGGAACTTAAAAACTGACTACATGTTTGTGACTACGAAACAGATTACAACACAATCACAGGGACAGAATTACAGTATTGTCCCCTGTAATAATGAAGTTTCTAAATGCTTAAATCTAAACATCTGAAAATGAGATCATATTACCAAACACCAGAATCAAATCCCATAAATAAGTTTGAACAACAAATCAACTCCTTATGAATTGACTACAAAGGAAGATGTTCAAGCCCTCTATGAAGCACAAATACTACATAAAATATTGGACATTTGCATACACACACACACACAATTCCCTGTCACATACGGACGAAGAACCACTATTTGTTTTGTTTTTTGCCAAGACAAGCTAAGAATATTATCAGTACCTAGGAGTAATCTTGGCAAACTAGAAATAATACTTCACTATTGTCACTTTCTAATCAAACCAATGACTTAATTTACCAATTATAATTAAATAAAGCATTTTCACAGGATAAATAATTTTAACACCCTTCCACATTCACCATCTCCTTCATTTAACTGCACCATTTGTTAAATTCTCAGACAAGTGGTTCTTGAGGGTGTTGTATATTTGGTGAAGATGTCTCCAGTGTTGAGAATTGGCCGGGGTGCGCTTTAATAATGATTCCGACTCGTTCAACGTCAGGGTAGCCGGCTCGGAAACCCAGGCACCAAAGCAGTCCTTCCAAGGTTTAAGGCTACTTAAAGAAACGTCAATTCTCAAAGTAGTATCCAGTTTCAGGGGGGCCGCCGGAACGCTGGAATCGTACGGCAAAGTTCCCGCACTCTCAAAGAGGAACTTAATGCGATGCCACGTGTGATACGCACTAGAGAGTGGATCACTCGTTCTCTTAAGGGCACCAGCTCCCGATAAGGACTCCAATAAACTTTGAATATAATGCACATTAAAGAAAGCTTCTCGAGATGAAGGTCTTTTCTGTGAATATTCTTCCAATGATCCATTCTGTTGACTGACAAGAAGACGCTGGCTTTCTGCCCACCACGACCACACCGGTCTCAGGTATATTGGCTCGTGTGGATTTTCACGTTGCAGGACCTGGAAATCAAAGATTTTTTAAACACAATAATCCAGTATTGATTTAAACAAAAAAATTCCAGTGTTGAATGTATTGAAATGTCTCTTTATAATAATAATAATAATAATAATAATAATAATTTTATTTGAAAGGTACAATGGGTTTGTGAGATTACATAAGATTGGCAGTTTTACATTCCCGCAAAGCCACTAACATGCATAGCATTTTGGGCAGGTCCTTAATCTAACATATCAGGTAAGATGAAAAGGTATATTGTAGCAAAATTTGATTTCAATATAAACTACAATATAAAATGACAGAGGTAATTACACTGGTAAAAATATGTCTTGCTTGCTTGATACCTGCTTGATGGGGTTCTGGGAGTTCTTCTACTTCCCAAGCCTGGCCCAAGGCCAGGCTTGACCTGTGAGAGTTTGGTCCACTAGGCTGTTGCTTGCAGCGACCTGCAGGCCCACATATCCACCACAGCCCGGTTGATCCGGCACTCCTTGGAGAAAATGATCTAATTTTCTCTTGAAGATGTCTATGGTTGTTCCGGCAATATTTCTTAAGCTCGCTGGGAGGATGTCGAGCAACCGTGGACCTCTGATGTTCATACAGTGTTCTCTGATTGTGCCTATGGCACCCCTGCTCTTCACTAAGTTCAGTACAAATATTGAGGAAGTGGGTAGCACAAGAGACAGTGAGAGTATGAAGCACAAGTGAAGGTAACTGCAAGGATCTCTCTGGATCTGGAAGGCTCCCTCAACCTGAGATGGCTTCCAACTACTAGGTCACAGCAGCTCTGTTGGTCTCATTGGACTACCGGAGACCAGAGCCAGAAACAAAGACTAGAGACCAGAACCAGAGACCAAGGCCAGAACCAGAGACCAGAACCAGAGATCAAGGCCAGAACCAGAGACCAAGGCCAGAACCAGAGACCAGAACCAGAGACCAGAGCCAGAGACCAGAGCCAGAACCAGAGACCAGAACCAGAGACCAGAGACCAGAGCCAGAACCAGAGACCAGAGCCAGAGACCAGAGCCAGAGACCAGAGACCAGAGCCAGAGACCAGAACCAGAGACCAGAGCCAGAACCAGAGACCAGAGCCAGAGACCAGAGCCAGAACCAGAGACCAGAACCAGAGACCAGAGCCCAGAGCCAGAGACCAGAGCCAGAGACCAGAGCCAGAGACCAGAGCCAGAGACCAGAGCCAGAGACCTGAGACCAGAGACCAGAACCAGAGACCAGAGCCAGAGACCTGAGACCAGAGACCAGAACCAGAGACCAGAACCAGAGACCAGAACCAAAGACCAGAGCCAGAACCAGAGACCAGAACCAGAGACCAGAGCCAGAACCAGAGACCAGAACCTGAGCCAGAGACCAGAACCAGAGACCAGAGCCAAAGACCAGAGCCAGAACCAGAGACCAGAACCAGAGACCAGAGCCAGAGATCAGAGCCAGAACCAGAGACCAGAGCCAGAGACCAGAGCCAGAACCAGAGACCAGAGCCAGAGACCAGAGCCAGAGACCAGAACCAGAGACCAGAGCCAGAGACCAGAGCCAGAGACCAAAGACCAGAACCAGAGACCAGAGCCAGAACCAAAGACCAGAGCCAGAACCAGAGACCAGAGCCAGAACCAGAGACCAGAGCCAGAACCAGAGACCAGAACCAGAGACCAGAGCCAAAGACCAGAGCCAGAACCAGAGACCTGAGACCAGAACCAGAGACCAGAGCCAGAGATCAGAGCCAGAACCAGAGACCAGAGCCAGAACCAGAGACCAGAGCCAGAACCAGAGACCAGAACCAGAGCCAGAGACCAGAACCAGAGACCAGAGCCAACGACCAGAGCCAGAACCAGAGACCAGAACCAGAGACCAGAGCCAGAACCAGAGACCAGAACCAGAGACCAGAGCCAGAACCAGAGACCAGAGCCAGAACCAGAGACCAGAGCCAAAGACCAGAGCCAGAACCAGAGACCAGAGCCAAAGACCAGAGCCAGAACCAGAGACCAGAACCAGAGACCAGAGACCAGAACCAGAGCCAAAGACCAGAGCCAGAACCAGAGACCAGAACCAGAGACCAGAGCCAAAGACCAGAGCCAGAACCAGAGACCAGAACCAGAGACCAGAGCCCAGAGCCAGAGACCAGAGCCAGAGACCAGAGCCAGAGACCAGAGCCAGAGACCAGAGCCAGAGACCTGAGACCAGAGACCAGAACCAGAGACCAGAGCCAGAGACCTGAGACCAGAGACCAGAACCAGAGACCAGAACCAGAGACCAGAACCAAAGACCAGAGCCAGAACCAGAGACCAGAACCAGAGACCAGAGCCAGAACCAGAGACCAGAACCTGAGCCAGAGACCAGAACCAGAGACCAGAGCCAAAGACCAGAGCCAGAACCAGAGACCAGAACCAGAGACCAGAGCCAGAGATCAGAGCCAGAACCAGAGACCAGAGCCAGAGACCAGAGCCAGAACCAGAGACCAGAGCCAGAGACCAGAGCCAGAGACCAGAACCAGAGACCAGAGCCAGAGACCAGAGCCAGAGACCAAAGACCAGAACCAGAGACCAGAGCCAGAACCAAAGACCAGAGCCAGAACCAGAGACCAGAGCCAGAACCAGAGACCAGAGCCAGAACCAGAGACCAGAACCAGAGACCAGAGCCAAAGACCAGAGCCAGAACCAGAGACCTGAGACCAGAACCAGAGACCAGAGCCAGAGATCAGAGCCAGAACCAGAGACCAGAGCCAGAACCAGAGACCAGAGCCAGAACCAGAGACCAGAACCAGAGCCAGAGACCAGAACCAGAGACCAGAGCCAACGACCAGAGCCAGAACCAGAGACCAGAACCAGAGACCAGAGCCAGAACCAGAGACCAGAACCAGAGACCAGAGCCAGAACCAGAGACCAGAGCCAGAACCAGAGACCAGAGCCAAAGACCAGAGCCAGAACCAGAGACCAGAGCCAAAGACCAGAGCCAGAACCAGAGACCAGAACCAGAGACCAGAGACCAGAACCAGAGCCAAAGACCAGAGCCAGAACCAGAGACCAGAACCAGAGACCAGAGCCAAAGACCAGAGCCAGAACCAGAGACCAGAACCAGAGACCAGAGCCAGAACCAGAGACCAGAACCAGAGACCAGAGCCAGAGACCAGAGCCAAAGACCAGAGCCAGAGACCAGAGCCAGAACCAGAGACCAGAGCCAGAGACCAGAGCCAAAGACCAGAGCCAGAGACCAGAGCCAGAACCAGAGACCAGAGCCAGAGACCAGAACCAGAGACCAGAGCCAGAGACCAGAACCAGAGACCAGAGCCAAAGACCAGAGCCAGAACCAGAGACCAGAGTCAGAGACCAGAACCAGAGACCAGAGCCAAAGACCAGAGCCAGAACCAGAGACCAGAACCAGAGACCAGAGCCAGAGACCAGAGACCAGAACCAGAGACCAGAGCCAAAGACCAGAGCCAGAGACCAGGGCCAGAGACCAGAACCAGAGACCAGAGCCAGAACCAGAGACCAGAACCAGAGACCAGAGCCAGAGACCAGAGACCAGAGCCAGAACCTGAGCCAGAGACCAGAGCCAGAGACCAGAGACCATAGCCAGAACCAGAGACCAGAGCCAGAACCAGAGACCCGAACCAGAGACCAGAGCCAGAGACCAGAGCCAGAACCAGAGACCTGAGCCGGAACCAGAGACCAGAGCCAGAACCAGAGACCAGAGCCAGAGACCAGAGCCAGAACCAGAGACCAGAGCCAGAGACCAAAGCCAGAACCAGAGACCAGAGCCAGAACCAGAGACCAGAGCCAGAGACCAGAGCCAGAACCAGAGACCAGAGCCAGAGACCAAAGCCAGAACCAGAGACCAGAGCCAGAACCAGAGACCAGAGCCAGAGACCAGAACCAGAGACCAGAGCCAGAGACCAGAGCCAGAACCAGAGACCAGAGTCAGAACCAGAGACTAGAACTAGAGACCAGAGCCAGAACCAGAGACCAGAGTCAGAGACCAGAGACCAGAGTCAGTTCCATCACAGAGGTGCAGAGAGGAGATGACACCCTCCCTACCACCACCAGGGAGGGCAGCCAGGACGTCAACAACCCAGAACATGACACCTCTTGTGTGAAAGGTTCTTGTTACTGAACCTATCATTCGTGTTGCAGTTTTGACAGCTACTTTGTTGTGTTCTCTTAACAGTCAGGTCTTCCAACATGACAACTCTGAAATCTTTTGTTTTGACTTTTCTGTCAATAGTGTGGTTTGACTGCATTGTATTGACTGCAAGTATTCTGTTGGGACAGCCCGTCCTCCTAAGGTTTCCCAACGTCAAGAAACTTTCATACTAGAGTGCCCTCATCCTAACCTACCAGAGGTCCCAAAACAGAAAACAAGACAGTACAGTATGTCAATTTCACGAGCCGCTACCATTTTCTAGTACGACAATTTTTGGCCTCGGGTAGAGTATACTGTAGGTCAAGATGCAACGTTCTATTAGAAAGATGGGTTGGTTGGGAAACTACTTCACTAACCAGGCCACTGGCCCCCTACCTTCCCGTTTATATTCTTCATTACCAATGTCTCTCTCATCGTATCAACCATCTTATCTTGAGGTTACAGTATCTTGAAATGATTTCGGGGCTTAGCGTTCCCGCGGCCTGGTCCTCGACCAGGCCTCCTTTTTGTTACACACCCCCAGGAAGCAGCCCGTAGCAGCTGTCTAACTCCCAGGTACCTATTTACTGCTAGGTAACAGGGGCATTCAGGGTGAAAGACACTTTGCCCATTTGTCTCAGCCAGCACCGGGGATCAAACCCGGAAACCTCAGGACTACGAATCCGAAGCGCTGTCCGCTCAGCTGTCAGGCGCACCATACTTACCCTTCCTTTCTATTAGCAACAATTTGGCTATATTTCATTTGCTTTCAGCCACATTCTTACAGATATACATCCATAGACTTCAATTTGTCACATTCTTACAAAACACATCTACAATAGTCACTTTCAACCACAGTCTTACAAAATACATCTACAATAGTCACTTTCAACCACAGTCTTACAAATACATCTACAATAGTCACTTTCAACCACAGTCTTACAAATACATCTACAATATTCACTTTCAACCACAGTCTTACAAATACATCTACAATAGTCACTTTCAGCCACAGTCTTACAAATACATCTACAATATTCACTTTCAACCACAGTCTTACAAATACATCTACAATATTCACTTTCAACCACAGTCTTACAAAATACATCTACAATAGTCACTTTCAACCACAATCTTACAAATACATCTACAATATTCACTTTCAACCACAGTCTTACAAATACATCTACAATATTCACTTTCAACCACAGTCTTACAAATACATCTACAATATTCACTTTCAACCACAGTCTTACAAATACATCTACAATATTCACTTTCAACCACAGTCTTACAAATACATCTACAATATTCACTTTCAACCACAGTCTTACAAATACATCTACAATATTCACTTTCAACCACAGTCTTACAAATACATCTACAATATTCACTTTCAACCACAGTCTTACAAAATACATCTACAATAGTCACTTTCAACCACAATCTTACAAATACATCTACAATATTCACTTTCAACCACAGTCTTACAAATACATCTACAATATTCACTTTCAACCACAGTCTTACAAATACATCTACAATATTCACTTTCAACCACAGTCTTACAAATACATCTACAATATTCACTTTCAACCACAGTCTTACAAATACATCTACAATATTCACTTTCAACCACAGTCTTACAAATACATCTACAATATTCACTTTCAACCACAGTCTTACAAATACATCTACAATATTCACTTTCAACCACAGTCTTACAAATACAGATCCATAAACTTCACTTTAAGCTAGTCTCCATTTCTCCCTATTTATTAACACAAAATCATGTGTTTTTTACCCTACAAAACCGCTTGAAAATCCGTTTTAATAAGCTGGACAAACCCTATAAAAAATGCAAAGCATCCTCATAAATTAGGTGCATCTTATACGGCATGAAATACGATACGTATTTATTACTAAGGCCCATTTCATAATTTTCAATTTGATTCATAATCATTTACCATCTCTGATTCCAATATCTCTTCCTGTCTATGCACAAATGAATATAACAAAACTAATTAATAAATGCAATCAAAACCATTCGACATCAAATTCAACTTACGGCAGTGGCGGTGTATTTAGCATTGACAGAATTGAACATGAAAGTCGAGTGAAGTGAGCAGTAAGAAGCATGCCAGAGGGCCACCAGGTACTCGGACGTGAACTCCAGGGATGCATGGTGCTGTACGCTCACCTGGTACACGCAGTCTAAAAATAATAACCACACTGGACTCTGCAAGGAGGAAAAAACTTAATTATCTGTACTGTATATAAATAATGTGCATTCTCTCCCTCTCTCTATGTATATAGATACATAAACAGCAAAACTGCTACATATTCTGAAGAGTATTAATACATTATGAAGTACAATGATTGAGAGATGTAAGAAGACATCAATACCATTAACACTTTCGCGCTCTCGGCGCTCAAAAAAAAACAATACCCCAGATGCTTTCGGCACTTCGCGCGCCTACGCGGTAAGACCGAAAAAGTGTACACTCTTTTGACTGTCCTGACAATAATTGAAGGCACACGTATTTAAATTTGGTATCACTGTGTTCGCAATGAAATTGTCTATAAGAGCATACCTATAAAATGCCGCCCAAGCATAAGGAGTATCAACACCAAATAAAAAACTATGCAGATCACTCGCCGAGAGCGCCAAACAGCAACAAAATGTTTCCACTCTCTTAACCCTTGCACTGCTCACCTATTTTCGGCAAAAACGTCTTGGTGCAATTGTCAAGGACATATTTTTGTTATTTTTACAAATGTTCAGGTAAATTTAATGTCAAAATGTTTCCAAAGTCAACTATTTCCATTTCAAAACACAAATAGTAATGAAAACTTTAAAAAACATTAAAATATAGCCAAATTAAAAAACAAAAAGCACAACTCTCTGAGCGCCTAAAGGCGCTTTGCGCAGTGCAGTGGTTAATGGTTGCGAAGCCTACAGTTGTCCTACATCGCTAATTTTGGTATCATTGGAATCGCAATAAAATTCTCTACACGGACATGTGCATATGAATGTTTAATATAGGTAATTGCCCACCCGCAAGAGTGTGTGAAGTGGAGAGTAGTTAGCCGCGAGCGCACTGGCGAAAACACAGGGGGGAAATCATGCTTGGAAAGTTTATACGTTTCCTGACCCTACTTTTCTATGTACGTATTTCTTTTTTATACCAATGTGTTCGCAATAAAATTTTCTATAAGATGAACTGTATAACATTTGTACAAAGCATGTGTAAGAGAAGCGCCAAATATAGAACCACGTCGCTCAGTATGCGTTCGCGGCAGAAACGAACGCATTGTTTTCGTTCGTTTGATGTTTGTCATGTTTATACTTGTTGAAACATTTTATAATTTGTATGACAGTGATCGCAGTAAAATTCCCTACACAGACATATACATAACACATACAAATATTTCCCACGTGTTGGATATATCAACGGCTAAAGGGAACCCACTGCCACACGCTCGCCACACCCCCCAAACATACTTTGTGTATTTTTTTTTTTACTCATAGAAGTTTGTGATATAATATTCATTCTGGGACCAAAAAATTCGCAAATAAATTCTCTACGAAACAAAAGTATCCCCATCCATTTCGGTTAAAAAATGGAATTTATAGAAATATTTTTTCGATTGACGAGAAAAGTAGGCAGTTATGCGGAATCGTAAGAAAAACCAGTGACGAGTTATCTCTAATCGAAAGCGCGAAAGTGTTAATTCAAAAGCTAGCCCATGAAGCATATAAAGAAGCCAACGTATTTTATATATATACTAAGGGGGTACCGGGCATTGCCCAGGATCTGTCTGTCTCTCTCTCTCTCTACCTAGCTATCTCTGCCTAGACATCTCTTTGTCCTCCACCCCTTTTCCACCCCTGGCATTCTCCCCTTCAAGAAACACTAAACCAAATGTGTGAGTCTCAAATGTTTTGTTTTCCTTTTTTCTTCTCTTCCTTCATTCATTCTAGCTACTTTTCAGTATCAACTCTACATTAATCACACACCATTTTCCATTGCTCCCTAATTAAAGCTTTCAATATAACATTAGAGCTGGTGATCTAGAAATAGACAAATCTAGTCAATATTCAAGTCTAGGTCACACTTGGCCCACCGGATCAAGTGTGGACAAACAGAGCCAGCCTTCCCCCTCAGTGCCCCGTCAACAGGGCGTTCTGTGTAGGGACTAGTTTTTTCCCTCTCCGAGGAAAAAAAAAGAAAGAAAAAAAAAGAAACCGACTTGCACGCAGAGCCAGCAACGCACCCATCAGACAAAGACGGGTGACGTCTTCCGACAGCTTCGGAGGAGGCACCTCCGAAGACGGCTTCGGAGGAGGCACCGACACAAAAGCTGCACCAAAGGCATACCTTTGGTCCATATTTTGATAAGCAGAAGCCGGAGCCCTAGACCAAGACCAAGAAGTAATAGTCTGCAAGCCAGGAAGAACCCCAGAAGGGGCAATACCGGGGCGCACAAGAGGAAATCACCAAGGGCCACCCGAACACCAAAGGGGAAGCCCAAGAGGAAGAAAACTTCCAGAACGGAACAGAAGAACCCAAAGGAACCCAGAAACAAACCAAGGGGGGAGCCTTAACCACCACATTTGCCAACGGAATGCACCACAGAAAGGAAGGGCAAAACACATGACCCAGACAGATCTCTGGCAAAAACAGCCAGAAACAAACTGAAAACCGTGGGTCAAAATCTGTGGGAGCAAGCAGAGTATACAGGCACAGACACCGGGTGCAAAAACCAGGGCCCAAAACCCAAGAGCAGAGAGAAAAACACAAAACCGGGCCAAAAAACAAACACCCAAACATTCCCAAAGGAACAGAAAGGGCAATAAGAAAGAACAAAACAGAGACAAGGCAATGTGAGTATAAAAAACTCTAGATGGAGGTGAAAAAAATGCCTCCAAAAAGTCAGCTCATACTCCTAGGCACATGTAAACAAACAAACCACAGCACCGCCCTGGCGGCCAGGCAGGGAAGTGCCCGCAGAGGCACTTCCCTGCCAAAACAAAAGGAGAAATGGCTGACGCAAGGGAGCCAAAATCATGTCAGCAAATGTGGGAAACAAAGCACACGGGAGAAGGGACGGGGTTTTCTAGAGAGAGTTTTCCAGGGGCCGTAGGCTGACTGCTACGGGAAGCCTGGGCAAGGTGTTGCTAACCGGTTAGACCAAAAAGCTAACTAGGAAGATGATCAGTGCATTCCCTGCAACCTGTACGATGATGGGGACCTAGTGGAGGGCCACCAAAACAATGTAAGTGGTCCTATAGCCACACAAGGCAGACCCCCACCAGGCAATGAAAACAAAAATAAAAGAAAACCCCCACAAAAGTATAACGTCCCCAGAGGAAACTGGAACCGGTTGCTGCATATGTAAGCTGGCTGTGCAACACCTTGATGCCATAACCAGCAACAATACCACTCCCTACACAAGGCCAAACAAGTCAGCAGAGAACACCATTAAGGCAAAATACTGCCAGGAAATCGAGGCCAGAGTTGACGACTGCCCCGGATCGCATTAGCCAATGAACTGGAGTTGCTGAGTAGTCAGCCCGGAGGGTCCGGGGTTGCACCCTTTCCCCCCCTCCCAGGGAGGGGAGAGCTGTGCGGACAAACGACATGACGGCAAGGCGAAAACATTTGCTTCTTGGCTTGTTTCCTTGGGAATTGGAGGAGTTCTGCCTCTCTGTTCGATTTTCGGTTGCAATTTTCTTACCATGTGGGGTCTGTTTTGCTGTACCTACCTTTCTGGGTGCCTAACCCTGCTCGATGGCAAATAAGGAAAACCCCCAAACACAGGGGAATTTTCCTGGGTGCATTGCTCCTTGTGCCTCTCTGAGAGAGCCAGGTTCTGGCTCGTGGTCTCCTGTAGGCTGAATTCCATTGACTAATGCCCTAGTCTAATGTATCTCATATTAGCCCGATAGCTCCAGGGAGCTGAAGGGGCTCCCCACAGAAAATACTGAGGCCATACAATGTGATTGAACCCACATCGCCAAACTCTTTCCCCACACACACGCACAACAGTCAGTAGCGTGTGCGCCTGGGGTGTCCAGGGATGCGCGTTCACTCCCATCGCAGGACCTCAATGTTTTCTCACAGAACACCACAGTCTTGCGAGTCCACTGGACATTGTAAATAATCGGAAGCGAATATACATGCACACAGCACAAGCATTCATTATGTTAAACAACAAAAGTAATTTCACATATAAAACAACAAAATCAAAATTTAACTGACCTGTTCGTCTACCTGGTTTCTGGTATGACCAAGACGGGTTGAAAAGGGGTGACCTAGAGCAACCCACTCTTTTTGGACCAGGCAGTGAAAACCTCTTATGGTACGAACATAGGGATCAAGGAGCAATTGCACTAAACTTGATACAACAGCACTGAGGTCTCGACCTTCACTCTCTGCAACAGTCAAATATTAAATGATCATTTATATCAAATTTATATTTATAAATGACAATACGGAATAAAGATGAAATAATAATCTGCTCAATGTTTGTAGCAAAAACTCATCCATCTTGTTTATAACATGCTTGGGTTAAACTATAGGATTATAACTATTGAAGCCGTCTACACAACCCACAGGATTATAACTATTGAAGCAGTCTACACAACCTACAGGATTATAACTATTGAAGCAGTCTACACAACCCACAGGATTATAACTATTGAAGCCGTCTACACAACCCACAGGATTAATACTATTGAAGCAGTCTACACAACCCACAGGATTAATACTATTGAAACAGTCTACACAACCCACAGGATTAATACTATTGAAGCAGTCTACACAACCCACAGGATTAATACTATTGAAACAGTCTACACAACCCACAGGATTAATACTATTGAAGCAGTCTACACAACCCACAGGATTAAAACTATTGAAGCAGTCTACACAACCCACAGGAATAAAACTATTGAAGCAGTCTACACAACCCACAGGATTAAAACTATTGAAACCGTCTACACAACCCACAGGATTAAGGGGGCGTATCACCAGGATTTAAAAAATTGTTGTAGGGTATTCATAATTTATTATCCTGATACATGTGAAAGGTGCTGCACCTAGGCCAAGTTTCAGCATCTCAGCCTAAATAGAGACGGAGAAAAAAAAAAAAAAAAAAAAAAAAGACGAATTTTTCAACCATGTTCAATTGATTTCACAGCCCACAATTGTGAACCAAAATCATTTATACGACACTCAGCTATGACCTTACTATATAATAAAGATTTGCATGTCACATTATTATCCCAGATGTATTTAGTGCAATAATACAGATTTTATAAAAGTTTCCCAAAAACGTATGCAACAAAATGAAGTGTATCATTATTTATAAAATCAATAAATCTACGTAGATAAGAATAATGACATGCGTTTATAGAGGCGTAAACTCTACATATAATGTGCAAGTTTCATGTAAATAGAATAATAAATAAAGGCTGTGAAACGAGATCTAGTTGTAAAAGTTGGAGTTGCGTAGCGCGCTCTCAAAGTTTATTCAACCTGCGGTCACTCGTGACTGGTGATTTACGCATTGCGGCCAGCTCGTATGGAGAGCTCGCATGCATCTAGCTGTCAATGCTTTTCTCTTGTTCGTTTGGTAAGTCATATTGCAGTACAAATAGCTAAAAATAGCAAAAATAGCATGTTCTGGGAGATATTGTGTGAGCGCGTCAGCATACATCCTCTCTCCATGAGAGACACGCAGTCACTGACTGCACCACCCTCGTGTCAGACAATAGAGTGTTGCCATATCTGTTAGTTTATATTCATTTTATGCATAACATGTTACTTTCAACGCTATTACGAAAAATAAGACATCTACAACGTAAGATACAATACCCCGCGGCGTACTCACGGCGCGAGGACCAGATTCACGAAAGTTGCAGCGGGAAATTTGACTCTAATTACGTTATTTTTCAAGATATCATTAAACGGTTTGGACCACAGTGTTGCCAGAACGTTGTAGTATTTTTCGTAATTTTTCGTAAATATTCCATTTTTCATCGGATTTTCGGGTGATACGGCCCCTTAAAACTATTGAAGCAGTCTACACAACCCACAGGATTAAAACTATTGAAGCAGTCTACACAACCTGATTCCATTAAAACCAAACATTTTTGGCCAAACGTGAGTGCTTGAAGTTAATTGCTCCCTGCGCCTCTCTGCGGAGGGCCAGATTTTGGCTCTGGTCACTGGTAGGCAATACAAGAACTGCGATTGATGACACTCAAGTAGTATGGCACTTGATCATTAAGATAGCTTCAGGGAGCCTCTGGGGCTCACCCACAAACTGGCGTTTCATTACAGTCAACGCTGGTTATTTCTTTATAACAACAAACGACAAAAGCATCACTAACCTTGCTTACGGCCTAACTCACCTTGTAGGATAACCGAGCTATTATGATGAAGAATGGAATTGGCCGCACTCTTTGCTACTTCCAGACATTTGCTGACATGGGATAACCACCTGGACGACTCCCATCGACTGTAGTAGTGACGGTCTTGCTCCAAAAATTGTGTGGGATCATCTGAGAAAATAGTAAGGTAACGTAGTAATTGTAGGAATGCGGAATTGTTTCAAATGTACGGTTGGTTAGACATACATATTTAAGAATTCAGATGAATATAAATAGGAGTTGCCACATATTGAACTTTGGACCTTCATCAGCTTCCTCATTGTTGTTGTTTAGCTACTGGGAACAAACAGTTCTAAGTAGCATGGGTTATGGCGAACCCGTAGTGGACTTTCCTGGCACAGGGGCAGGGCTGTAACTGTGACTGCACTTTCCTTCATTCTTATGTGCTATATTGTATACACAATTAAATCACAAGCCATGATCAATCTACCAGGAAATATGAAGGCCTTTTGTCTGGGTAGAATGTCCAGGGATGAAAAGTTCAATCCCTGTGTATAGCCTCAATATTTTCTCTTGTGTACTATACTTCTGAGAAATTCCACTAAAATAATGAAGTTCAATACTATACAGAAAGAGGGATCTACTCATTTGAAACATTTCATCCAAAGATTTTACAGTAACAATGTAAGTTTGCAAGCCAAACTTTGTTTTTTTATTTATATATTGTTCTTGCATTCTTGTAAAACCACTAGCGCGCACACATAGCGTATCGGGTAGGTCTTTACAGTAATCTTAATTTTTTTCCCCGGAATACGACCCGCCAAATCTTTTAACAACACAGCCCATCCTCCTGTTTTGGTAGTACTTACAATAACGATGAGGACCATACTATATATGCCGACGTACAATAAAATTAGAAAGTAGAAATCTGAACTACTGAGTTGGACAAACCAGAATACAGTTTTTTACCTGTGTTGTTTGACAAACTAATCTAACCTAACCTAACCTTCCTAGGCCTAATACATGATATCTGAGGCCTAATATAGTACATATATGTGTGGTAAACTAGGCCTATGAATATTTAAGTTTGTTTTTTAGCTTCATTTATTTGAAAAGAATTCCTTACTACTTAGTATAGTACTATCTAAAAGTTAAGTACGTACGAATTCGTTACTATTGACGATCGCCACAACAGGTACTACCTAAACAGGAGGATTGTTTCAACAACCAGGTTCCCATTAGCTGCTGGGTGAACAGAGGCTACAGTTAAGGATAGGCAACCGTTCAATCCTCCCCGGCCAGGATACCAACCCAGGCCATAGTGCTTGCCAAGCGCTGGGCGAGTGCTTCTACCACTGTGCCATGGGGACTGCCAACCATGTCTAATGGGCTTCCTATCCAAAATTTTTTTGAAAATATTTCACTGAAACCTGACCCAAGACCAGGCTACAGAAGCAGCAATACCTAGAGCTATCACCAGAGGGCACCACAGAGACCAGAGCAGCAGGAAAATCAGGCACAGCAAGAAAGTGGGCCTAATAACACTGGCAAGGAGAGACCAGGGAAAGGAGTATAATGTATCTTACTAGGAGGGGGTTCGAACAGTTATTCTACTCCCCGAGCCCGGCCCGGGGCCAGGCGTGGCTTGGTCTTGATAACTTGGGCCAACAGGTTGTTGCTTGCAGCAGCCCACAGTCCCACATATCCACTACAACCTGGTGCTTTGGCACTTCATGCAAGAACTTATCTAAATGCTTCTTGAAAACTTCCACCTCTGTTCCAGCAATATTTCTAATACTTGCTGGGAGGGTGTTGAACCCTGTTGGACCAAGTTATCACAAGCCAAGCCTGGCCTCAGGCCAGGCTCGGAGAGTAGAAGAACTCCCGAGACCCTTTCCAGGTATGCTCCAGGTGACTGACTGCAGGAGTTTACTAGATGACACTGGTAGCTTACTGGTGCTGCTGCCTGGTGGCATGCAGCTGCTACTACCGGATGAATGACTGATCTACTCGGTGGATTGTTTTCCAATTTGTTTATATTTGTCTTACTGTTTGCTTTGACTCTACCTTTCTGGAGGCAGTTCCTTGGTGAGGAAGATCAATTAAAAATATATTAAAAAAAACAGAACTATTGCATTACATGTCAGGAATTGGCTTGCTGCTGTTATTCTTACTGCATTATACATCAGGAATACATTTGTTGCCAGAGTTTCTGAAGCATTATTAAACGAACTCACCAGGTGTGTGTAGCTCCCTCAGCTTTATATACGAGATCTGAAGGTCTTTCAAGGAAGGTAACATTTGGTCAAGATCAAGTATCGTCGGCTGCAATTTCCTCGGATGACAGCGATGTACCAGCCCCATCATTCGGTTCTCCTGGTGCCTGTTAATGCATGTAAACATACTATAGCTAATGTATGACACAAAAGCAAATGCATTTCCCACTTTAGGAAAATGCATTTCCTTAATAATTAATAAACCTAACTAATTCATTGAAGGTTCTGAGTAAACCTAAATAATACACGCTTATGTCTTAAAGTCCAAGTCCAACTCCTTGCCTGCACGGGTGGCTTAGTGTCTAAGTCCGGCAATGCATTTACTGACAGGAGAAGGGGTGAGGGCGTGCCTCTGGCACCTTAAAACCAGCTGCTCTGGGTAGATGGGACTCGACAGTTAGGGAAGACAGCTCATCTAGGGGCGGGTAAAGGAAATGACGATTTCTGGACTCCACTTCGGGAGCTTCCCTAACCCTTAAACTGCGCATATTTAGAGCCCGGAAGCGAAAAATATTTAAATTATGTAAAAAAAAAATGTTAAATGTTAAATAAATCTCCAATTCATTGGCTTCAGCGTCGTGACACTTTCATCAAAATATTTTCAGAAATTTATTTTAGACGAATTTGTTATAAAGAAGAACGTTTTGTTGGTAAGGAGAACAGCTCCTATTAACTGGAACTAAGGGATAATGTAGTGTAGTAATAAAGAGGTGCAAGCACCTGTCCGACACTCAAAGAAGAATAGTAGTAGGGACTTACATACATACCTCTCGTTCAATGTTAGGGATGTGTTTCTGCGAATGGGTGCATCAGCCAAGTCAGCGTTACAAGGTATCTTTACACAATACTCAAGTCCCTATGGAGATGCATTCCTGACATCGTAAATATATCTTGACCAACATATCAAAGACTCACTTACGCAAATGATAAAAATATATTTATAAATACATGCTGTAAAGTACAGTACTTCTATAATTTTTGCACAAGAAGCTATTCCTCACCCCAAACACAAAATTATATAAAGACTTGGGTGGTACAAATTGGTCACCATCCTACTTCTCCATCCAGCCAGCCAAGTAAGTCACACTCACCACATTATTGAGTTTTGTTGCCTTTTTCTTTCTGGTGGATTTTGTCACAGTTTTGGGTCAATCACCGATTCTCGCCTCCAAAAGAAGGGCGGAAAGTGAAGTGCATGGCTTCCAGTAGGCAAGTGCAAGTCTCGGGAGAGGTCGGGCAACTCTAAAGCTCTGTTCAGGGAGTTACTGAACAGGCCAACCCAAAATGTATGAAAATGGAGAAGCACAAATATTTACTTTTTCTTTTTTGGTGGGGTCGATTGTGTCCATAGTTCATGGTTTGGTAAACAAATGGATTTTTATGGTGTGGCAAATTGAAAGAACAGCCGGTTTTTTTCAGATGCAGAATGTTACCTAATCCTGACTATTAGGAGTGTTTCAGTGGAATCTCAGGACGTTTCTTAAGTCACCTGGCCACTGAGTCCTTTGTCCCATGCTAAGATCCTTGATGAAGCCGACACCTTTGATATTGGGCTTGACTCCATTTTTCTGACACTGAAAGCAATACAGTGGTGCCTCAATTAACGAATTTAATCCGTTCCGGCACCGAGCTCGTCATGCGAAACAACAACTCTGTCGTCGGTGGTGTCCAAGAACCAGCGGGAACGCTAGGAAGCACCGTGTGTTTTGCTCGTTAATCGAGACAAATTTTCTACGAGTGGCTCGCTCGTTACTTGAAATGCTCATAACTGGAGTCGCTCGTCACTCAAGGTTCCACTGTACATATAAATTTTCACATAGCTTTGAATATATGCATTGATTACACTCTTTGGGAAAATGCTTAGGTGAGCAGCATCATGAAGTGGGTGCATTTGGATCGTGATAAACACTGGAGAAACTGGAATGCACAAGACTTGCACAACGAAATCAAAAGAATACCGTATAATGTATCTACGATAAAATATTTAAGCTCTATGTTGAGACTGAACGTACATCCCTGGACTCACTTGTCTGCAATACTAGGAGAGATCTGTGCCATGCGAACTAACGCTGCTCCAGCCAGGGTACCCCAGCACCACACCGGAGGACGCGTTCCCTGGAAGTGTTGCGCAGCCTTCTCTAACTCAGAGTCTAGGAGGTCACGCGGAACCACAACCACAGCTGGTAATCTACAACAGATGGGAAAACCCCATGTTTAATTTATACCTACATATCTGCTTAATTACAAGCAGAGAATACATGGCTCAAAATTAATACCCAACCCACACATACAAAAATAAGAAAAGTGACAATGTATCAGTCCATTCTGTACCCTTAATAGGCCATTAATTATAGTGTATCTTTGATACAATAAGTAATCATAATTATATCTTGCGAATGAGAATCTGGTATAGCATTCTGATAAATAACCGATGTGGTGCATGTGCCCACGTGCATGGTTTAAGTCATTACATTCACATAATCTCTTGGACTTATAATGGCACCAAATGTATTGTATAGACATGAGAAAATACTGGAGTCGAACAATGGCTGCAAGTGAAGAACATAAAAAGTACAGCGTAGAGAAGATTTGTACTAGAATCATGTGGTTTGATCTCATTACTCAGCTCAAGTATTTTCTCATAAAAACATCACCTTTCTGTGATTCATTGTCTTGACACTACACAAAACCCAAATTGTTTGTTAGAACATTTCCATTTGCTGGTTTTGGTATTAAACAACTAGCCGACACTTACTATGAAAAATATATGTCTTGAAAATGGGATAGGGATGTAGTGGTAGGGCATGTGGACAATTGTGAGATCAATTTGGCTTTCCAGTTGGGCACATTACAGCCTTATTTAGGCTAATCCTGATTCCCCTTAAGCCAACTACTGATACAACTAACAACAGTTGCACAACCCTTAGGTATCTGTTGACTAGAAGAAACTTTCCTTATTAAGACTACTCAACAGCTCAGTCAATAGAGCTTGGACCTCACATGCGTGGGGTCCACAGTTCGAGTCTCCTAGAGCCCAGGTGAATGGAATACCTGTTGACTGTCAGGCAAACGGCGGCATGGGGAATTGAACTCGGGACTATTTTGTTGTAATACAACTGTGCTGTCCATTGCAGCACAGGACCTCTGGTCAGTTTGTTGCATCAAGTTATGCAGCAGCAGTAGCTAACAATGCCTATAGCTGGTTACTGCTACAGCCAGCCTGCTGGTATTGCTGTTATCTAACCTGTCATTTTTCTTCCGGTTGTGGCAGCTACTTTATTGTGTTCTTTAAAACTAAGGTCTTCCAACATGATTACTCCCAGATCTTTTATATTGCTTTTTTGTTCTATAATTTAATTTGATTGCATTTAAAATGTGAGTTTTTTTATATTTTAGTTTTCCAAAGTGCAGGAGCTGGGACTTATCTTCATTAATCAACTTATTATTTTCTGTGGCCCAATGAAAGACCTGATTTACATCAGACTGGAGTTTTGCTTTGTCCTCTATATTGCCTATCTCATAAAAACCCTAGTGCCTTCAGCAAAAGATGATATGGCACTACAGTTTGTACCTTTGTCTATGTCTGATATGAGAATGAGAAAAAGTATCAGAGCAAGTACGGTACCTTGGGGGAAGGGGAGGGGAGGGGCTGAGTTTTTCACAGTGGATGATTTGGATTTTACAGTGTTGACTATTACACTCTGAGCTCTGTTCATTAAGAAATTAAAGATCCAGCTTCCTGCTTTGTCAAAAATTCCTTTTAAGCACTTTTTGTGCGCACTAAACCATGGTCACATTTGTTGAAAGTTTCACAAAATCTGTGTATATTACATCAGTGTTTTGTCTTCCATGGCAGCTAAGGCCATATCATAATAGTCTAGCAATTATGAGAGGTAGGAGCCACCCATTCTGAACCCATGTTGTCCAGAGTTATTAGATGCTGTGATTCCATGTGTTCTGTTATACTGTACTCTTAGCACTCCTACGAAGAGTTTGTATGATGTGTGATGTTAGTGCTATGGGTCTATACCTTTGTGCCTCTGCTTCATCACCTCATTTATAGAGGTGCTCTCTCATCTTTCAAGTTCAGTATGTTGGGCCTGTCATAGCGTTTTTTTACACATGAAAACCATATACTTTGTTTTTCAAATGCATTTGGTCCAGAATCACATGGTGAGGAGCTTGGCCACTCTGAAAACAATTCTAACATACAGCTCATCTGCAAGGCATACACACTTTGTCATAGCAGCTCTCCATAATACCAAGTTTGCTCCATTGCCAATTTTTCATTCGCCATAATTACCCATTCTGTGTAGGAGAACTGGAAAGCATTCAAGTCAGTACAGTATTGTAAGTACAATACGCACCATCCCAAGTCCTTATCCTCATCCCTTTCAAGTGCTACCGACTAAAGAGCCTAAATCTGTACTCCCTTGAGCGCAGGCGGGAGAGATACATAATAATTTACACGTGGAAAATAATTGAGGGGCTGGTCCCAAACCTGCACACAGAAATAACATCACATGAGACCAGAAGACATGGCAGGATGTGCAGAATACCCCCGTTGAAAAGCAGAGGTGCAACAGGTACTCTGAGAGAGAACTCTATCAACATCAGAGGCCCGAGACTGTTCAACACGCTTCCACTACACATAAGGGGCATAACTGGCCGACCCCTCACAGTGTTCAAGAGAGAACTGGATAAGTACCTCCAAAGGATACCTGATCAACCAGGCTGTGACTCATACGTCAGGCTGCGAGCAGCCGCGTCTAACAGCCTGGTTGATCAGTCCAGCAACCAGGAGGCCTGGTCGAGGACCGGGCCGCGGGGACGCTAAGCCCCGGAAGCACCTCAAGGTAACCTCAAAGTAAGGCTATATAGTTGTAATGGCCAGGCACTTTCTCATGATAGTTCCCATCCCTTCCCTTCCCTTCAGCTTTATATTTTGAATTGTATATTTTTCTGATCTGTCTAAAATTTATATACAGTATATAAGTACATTGTTATACATATTAATTAATTTTCTAAGTTTACTGTATATTTTTTTAATTAGAATTGTTAATAAATATTTAAATAGATAAAATGTATTACTAATAGTATATATCTTAAGATAATTATTTTATAACAAATTTCTATGATGTAAATTTTTAGTTAAATAAAATGTGCGAGTTTATATGATAATAATGATTAATTAAAAAATAAAACAGTAGTGGAGTCACACAAGCACAAACGAATGCATCTGCTGAGCACAACGAGATCACAAGACCATGATACGTCTATGAGATGCAGGATGTGGCTTCAAGTCCATCATATCACACACATGATACGTCTATGAGATGCAGGATGTGGCTTCAAGTCCATCATATGACACACATGATACGTCTATGAGATGCAGGATGAGGCTTCAAGTCCATCATATGACACACATGATACGTCTATGAGATGCAGGATGTGGCTTCAAGTCCATCATATCACACACATGATACGTCTATGAGATGCAGGATGTGGCTTCAAGTCCATCATATCACACACACATGATACGTCTATGAGATGCAGGATGTGGCTTCAAGTCCATCATATCACACACATGATACGTCTATGAGATGCAGGATGTGGCTTCAAGTCCATCATATCACACACATGATACGTCTATGAGATGCAGGATGTGGCTTCAAGTCCATCATATCACACACATGATACGTCTATGAGATGCAGGATGTGGCTTCAAGTCCATCATATCACACACATGATACGTCTATGAGATGCAGGATGTGGCTTCAAGTCCATCATATCACACACATGATACATCTATGAGATGCAGGATGTGGCTTCAAGCCCATCATATCACACACATGATACGTCTATGAGATGCAGGATGTGGCTTCAAGTCCATCATATCACACACATGATACATCTATGAGATGCAGGATGTGGCTTCAAGTCCATCATATCACACACATGATACGTCTATGAGATGCAGGATGTGGCTTCAAGTCCATCATATCACACACATGATACATCTATGAGATGCAGGATGTGGCTTCAAGTCCATCATATCACACACATGATACATCTATGAGATGCAGGATGTGGCTTCAAGTCCATCATATCACACACATGATACGTCTATGAGATGCAGGATGTGGCTTCAAGCCCATCATATCACACACATGATACATCTATGAGATGCAGGATGTGGCTTCAAGCCCATCATATCACACACATGATATGTCTATGAGATGCAGGATGTGGCTTCAAGCCCATCATATCACACAAACATTTTCACATCTATTTAGATGAAATGTTAACGCAATACCTCATTTATCGCACTTTTAATTTGCTCGGTCGATAATTCCATAATTATCAAACTGCTAAGCATTTTAACCAACTTACGAGGAACAGAGGTTGAAGAATTCATTATGCTTCGAAACTCTCCAATTAGGACATCGTGTTCGTTGCAGTTCTCTCTCCCAGTCCTGAGCCATGCTGAAAAATATTCCTCTTATAAAAATTAATGCCACCTGAGGCTACATTTTCTTCTTTTTCCATCTTAAAACTTTCAAAGTTTTATCAATAGTTAACATATTTAAATGTAATATTCCTCCTGAATATCCACTTAGGGGGAAAAGAACTAAAAATCTGAGAGCTTTCAAGTATCAACACATTTTTACTCCTATTGTCTACTACTTGAAATTGTCTTCATAAACAAAAATGTTAGTTTTTCTTGTCTATCTCCAATAAGAGAATATTTACACATACCTGGTGCACCCCTCCCAAAGCTGGCCAACCTAGCCAGAAAAATCTTCTTCGCCAGAAAATAAGATGGCAGCAAATGAACAAAATTGATTAAGAAGAATTCTTGAAACCTGCATCTTCAAAAACAATAGATCATAGACTGTAGCTAAGGAAACAAAGCTACTAAAAAAACATTAGAAAGTTCTCTTTTGCAAACAAAAACGTAGATGGTTGAAAGAAGCAAAGTGAGTGGTGGTAGATGCCAAAACTGTCAACAGTTTGAAAGTGTTATATGACAAAGCATACTGGAAATAGTGTAGCTCTCATCCTGTAACTATACTTAGTTTATTATAGGAGGAGGACATGAAAGGTTATCCTCTGAAGCAAAAACTATCTGGAGAGGGAACTAGAGTCCAAGAAGGATCAAAAGACACTCCTTAGGCTTCCCCTCAGCCTTGGAAGCCTGTCATGTAGGCTCTAGGGCAGAGTTGTAGTCCTCACCCAACACCTGGCACAAATAGGTATCTTCCCAAGGAGAAGGCTCCAAGCTGGGGGAAGGGAAGGGAACAGTTGCAAAGACGACTGCTCCGAAACCCTGGAGGGACCAGAAGGCTCAACTACCTCCACTGTTGAGTTGCATGAGGCTACCCAGAGAAGGCTAAGCTACACACCAAGCAAAACCCGGACTTGACTCGGAAACCCCCAGACACCTTGGAGCAAGAATCAATAGAGGGATGATGGAAGACCAAAAAGCAGGTTAAACCACACCTGCAGGGAAAGGAAAGTGGTGATGAGGGTTAGAGGTCACCTCCAATTCAGAGTTCTTAAACAACATATGGGGCATCCAACCTATTGTAAAGCTGAGAATGCCTAATCCTAGCAACTTAGCTTACAAAGCAGCAGCTGCCTGAAAAACTTCTACATTGGAAGCAGAATCAGTAAATGCAGAGACCCATGAGGGAACAAACTGCATAGTACTCAAGGTCATAGATATCACCAACCCAACAGGCAGCATTGCAGAGGCAGGGAGAATGATCACTGTCTGGTAGCAAAGACAATGAGCATCTTTCAAATTTGCACAAGATGAGTGCAGGCTCAACAGACCGAGCAAACCATGCCAAAATCCCATGAAGGGATCGTGAGGGGCCTGAAGGAAGCTAACCAAGCAGGACATTCACACACTGAGACCACTTGCCAGAAGACAAGACACGAAGTGCAGCCAAAACAATCATGCCATGACTGGAGTCCTGTGGCATGTCATATAAATAAACACGCTAAACTCCTGCAAAAATGAAGAAAACGTCCCCAGTCTAGAGCATAGAGGAGTCAAAAGACTGATAAATAGCCCTAAATGAGGTTCTTAACCCTTGCTTCATACACAAAATGAGGGGTGAAAGACCATGCCTAAAAGACCCAGAGTACAACAGTCCAGCAGACATTAGCATAAGAACTGATCAGGGAAGATGGCTATAAACAGGAGCTGGGCCGCTTGGTGGGAGCATTTGGCACTACGAATTTCACGCTAATTTTGAACGTTTCTCTTGTTCCGAATGAATCGCCTGTGGAGTTGTTTGACAGTTTTGAGGCTTCAGACTTTGATGACCGAACAAATCATACGAAGATGAAGAAATGACGATGTTTTGGTCCATCATGGACCGTTATCAAGTGGTATGCGACTTAATGGTCCAAGACGGACAGAAACGTCGCCATTTCTACATCTTCTGATGCGTGGTTTGGTCATTATATCTTCAGCCATGTTATTGTGACTCATTGTCTGCTTCAGACTCTGTTAACCCTCCAGTTGTCTGTAAAACTTTGCTAACCTTCCGAATGCTTTCCTGCTGTGGTGGCAAATTATCACTCACTCTCTGTGCATCATGTACTCTCCAATGACTAGTATTTAAGTTATGTTTTATTTTCTCTTAGAAAAAATATTAGCTGGCAACTTTCTATTATTGCCAGATTGATTAGTGTAGTCAATAGTGACTTAAAAATACAAATAAAATATTCATAGCAAATAACCTATGTTTACTAATGGTAATAGTAACAAATATTGAGGAAAATATATAGAATATTGACTCTGGGCCCTTTATACCTAGTTAAAGGCTGCATCTGTTGCAAGAACATTAAGGTCAATGATATTGATAACATTAAATAAATAACCCAAGCCACACATATAAAAGGAAAGTGATGTTTTAGTATAATTGACAATAATATTGTGAATAATGTAAGCTAACCAAAAGTCAGGGATGCCAGGTGATGGTGGTGGATGGCCGCACGAGAGAAAAAGATGGTCTATGGTGGGAGGGAAGGCGTGGTGCAGCAGAGCTTGTGCCACTCGTAGGTCTTCGCCTGCCGGGGTGAACTTGAAGCTGAAGTTTATAATACGAAGGTTCTGAAGCAGAGAGAGAAGAGGACCTGTCAAAGTTACATCATTTACCAGAAATATAACTATTGAAACATAAATATCCCAACCCAGACGTGAAAAGAAATGGAAGCGACGATGCTTTAGGCTGTAGTGGAGCCGTTTCACGTCACCACTAATGAGGGTTCAAGGACGAGCCGATATTCTGTCACTTTCCTTTTTCACAAGTGAAGGTTGGGTTATTTATTTTCTACCACATTATCGCGACTTGTTCTCTGCGGATTGAAACATTATATTTATCCATCGGTACCTTCAACGCCTTAGTCTCTTGGATGAGGATGAGGGTGCTAGCATGGAAGAAAACCCTTCAGTATAACATCTATGTTTGGTAATTAAATCCATTGCTTACAATTTCTACTCTAATACCCATGATTTTTTATAGACTTCCCCATTCTACTACCTGTAGTTTACCTGTAGTCAGTTGTGAGAGTACTACTGTCCAAGCATGGCCTGGGGTCAGGTTTGTTTGGTGATGACCTGTTCCATCAAGCTGATGATGGCAACAGTCCTCTGGCTCATACATTAAGACATCTTCCTGTTTTTCTAATCCCATCTCTACATTTCCCCAAAAAAATTCTTCTAATTTTATTAATATAGCATGCTTTCATAAAATAGTTTCTTGCAAGGTTGGTTTGTCTCATCCCCGTCAATACCACACGTCGATAAATCACAACTTGATCACATCTGGCAGCTTTCTCAAGATCCAAATGTCGAGTACACAATGTGTCAACTTTGTGAAAGAGAAAACATGCACTCCCTTGAACATTATATTGTGGACTGTCCCATATTGACTGACTTTTGCCCCCTCCTGGGCTGAGGTATGCTGAACTCTGTAAATACTATTATAAATACTGGAACACTTGATCATATATTGGACTTGTACCCAAGATTGACTCTGTAATGTATCAGTTATACAATGTATGCGATGTGAGTATAACCTGAGCTTGTGACAGCATCTTCATCATCTTCAGTGGTTAAGTGTTTAATAACACTAGTTTCTATAGAAGCTATCTTACTCTGTCAAAGCAGGAGAGACATAGCTGTATGTATACAGTATATATATGTAAATGCATATGTGTATATACATGTATATATCCATATGTATGTGTATATACAGGATATGTTGATATGTGGCTGGTCAGAATTGCATTTCACCTTTGTAAATGCACGTTAATGCCAATATGTAAAAAGACACCTCGAACACTGATTATGTAGGACAGATGTAAATCTGTGTATTTAAGTTTGTAGGTTAGATTAGTATTTTAAAAGCACAACAATCATCTTGTGGTTGATTGTTCAATAAATCACTGAACTATATGTTTAACAGGTCTCAGGCCCTGTCCATGGAGAACAGAATAAAGTATTTATATATATGTTGGTTAGCATTGTAAATGTGTGGCCACATCTGTGGTAGGAAAAAACAAAAATGCAAAGCTAACAACCCACTATCTTGATTGTACTTTCAGCAGCTTTGTTCCCTTGTGGTCTCTAACTACAAACATGAAGTTCGTTGTATGCAAGCTAAGGCCTTTGCTCCCAATAATGCCATTGTGAATTTTATTATCTGTGGTGAAAGCCACTAATGCATGTGGCTTTCACCACATTCACCACTGTGGTGAAAGATTACATGAATCCTTCACGTAATTACCACCAAATGGTGGTGGTGATTACATGAATGTGCACGACACCAATCAAGCACTCTGATTGGTGACAGCATGGCACAAAGATTGTACTGTTGCCTAGCTCATAGGTGTCTGTTTCATGGATTATCACATACTGTACAAGTTCTAAAGACAATAATGTAATGTGACAATACAGATATAACAAGACAATAAAGACATGATATCGTGTAAAAAGTCGTGCAAAAAATAAAACTGCAGTATAAATTGTACGGTGCAGTGATGTGTGTATACCATATTTGTATTTGCATCAATACTTGTTGTAAATACACTAATAGTGAAGCAGTAGTGTAATTAACTTTACATGCATCCATATGCTCCACTGGACAACATTTAAAAAACTCGAGTAACATGAATGTCGGCAAAAATGTCACCAGCTGTTCCTACCTCCAGGTAACAAATTCTATAACTTTCCCTAACTATCTGCTTGTTATCTTGAGATGATTTCGGAGCTTTTTTTTTTTTTTAGTGTCCCCGCGGCCCAGCCCTCGACCAGGCCTCCACCCCCCAGGAAGCAGCCCATGACAGCTGACTAACACCCAGGTACTTATTTTACTGCTAGGTAACAGGGGCATAAGGTGAAAGAAACTCTGCCCATTGTTTCTCGCCGGCGCCCGGGATCGCACCCGGGACCACAGGATCACAAGTTCAGCGTGCTGTCCGCTCGGCCGACCTTGATACCTGCTTGGTATCATCGTCTAATCCACTGTACTTGGAACAAACCTCCTGCCATATTTGCAATGTTGCACAACTATTCACCATATGCAAAACAATTTTTTTCCTGTTGCATGAGACAGCGAAAAAGACCTTGGGTTCACTATGAAGGTTAACTATAACATATGTATAACTAGGCCTAGATAAATTAACAATTTATATAACCAATACAATCTGCTCACTTCATTAAAATATGATTATTTTTGCAGACACAGTATAAGAAAATACACAAAATACATTGGTATTAGGTAACACAGACCTAGTCTACTAGGCCTAGTAGTGGAATCTGCCTATTAGGTATAATACATACTATACAATGGGGCCTCGACTTACGATGCTAATCCGTTCCCAGAGACGGATCATAAGTCGAAATATCATAAGTCGAAGCGAATTTTCCCATAAGAAATAAAGGGAATTGAATTAATCCGTTCCCCACCCTCCAAAATATTAACATACAAATACACTTTATACTGAATACAATGTTTTTTTCTAACTACAATACAGTACCTAAGTTTATCTTACCTCTATGGAGGGCTCTTGATGGTGTATGGAAGATGGTGATGAGGGGGGAGGAGGAGAGTTGTTACTGTTTGGAAGGGGAGTCCCCTTCCATTATAACATCAGGCAGTGATGTTTTCTCTGGGGTACTCTCTCTCCTACGTTTTGCCTGAATACCACTAGGACCTGGTTGTGGTTCAGTGCTTGTTTGTCTCACTACAAATTTGTCAAGAGACATTTGTTTTCCCTTCGTTTTAACATTTGTCTGTAATGATGCATCACAGTGTCATTGAATAGGTTAAGGCAACGACCTACTGCAGCTTGATTTGGGCGAATCATTTCAGCAAAGGTTTGCAATTCTTCCCATGCTGCACACATTTTCTTAATTGTTGAGAAAGAGACATTCTGTACTCTTGTTTCTGCTCTATGGTCATCCTTACATGGGTTTTCATATGTTGAGTCTTACCACTGACTTTCCTGGGACTCATGGCTTGATATATAATAATTACTTTAATGTTCAAATTGCAAAAAAATCACCACAAAAGCGGAATTTCTTATAGCCCCGATTGTCACTAAGCGAACAGCTGTAGTAAACTGAGGCAGGTCGGCCGCGTGACTGGGAACCACGCGCTCGGTTGACCCCAACGTGTACCAACAAATATCGGAAGTCGATGACACCATCGGATGTCGAGTCGCATTTTTCGATGAAATTTACATCGTAACTCGAAATTATCATAAGTAGGGGCAATCGTATGTCGAGGTGCCACTGTATTATATAAACATGCTACATATAGCAGAAAAAATAAACTTTTCCTTGCTGCTCCAGACATACAATACAGTGGTACCTCGAATAACGAATTTAATCCGTTCCGGCGCTGTGCTCGTCACGTGAAATGCTCCTGTCAAAACGAATTTTCCCCATTTAACATATTGGAGATAAAAATAATCCGTTCCACCACCGAAAAACATCAATATGATATCTGATTTTTTAAATAATGGAGCATCCTACCTGACATACACTGAACGAACCGTTATGACATTTGTCCGTTTTTCAAATTTGTTTAATTTTGTTGTTTCTTTTTTTTATAGCAAAAGGTTCATTCAGCATTTGCCAGGTAGGCTGCTCCATGTTTCTTAAAAAAAAAAAAAAAAAAAAAAAAAAACGGACAAATGCCAGCGATAAAGGTTCGTTCAGTGTTTGTCAGGTAGGATGCTCCATAATGGCAATCTTTCTTTGTTTCAAATGTGTTCAATTTGTTTTGTATTTTTCATTTATTTATTAATAATGGAGCAGCCTACCTGACATACTGAACAAACCTTTATGGCATTTGTCCGTTTTTCAAATATGTTCAGTTTTTTTTAGTTTTTTAATTTTTTTTTAAGAAACATGGAGCAGCCTACCTGACAAACACCAAACGAACCTTTTTTGATATTTGTTCTTTTTTCAAATTTTTTATTTTTTTATTCTACAAAAAAAAAACGTCAATGCTTTGCAACATCACAGCAGTCACCCCTTTACATCCCAGCAACATTAGCATCTTTAAGCAAAACAAAAAATTTATTTGCATCATCGGAGGCGTTCGTGAATGTGCGAGAAGCAGCAGGAACGCACCATATGGTTTACTCGTTAATCAAACGAGTGCTCACCTATCGAGACAAATTGTTGGCGATCGGCACTCTCATTATTCAAAATGCTCGTAAATTGAGGCACTCGTCATTCGAGGTTCCAATGTATATACCAAAATAGAGATACAGAAACAGAAGATAGAACTTGTTCATCAGAAACTGGAAGAGTAAGCAAGCAATTATCAAAGGAGGCACCAAGCCGGTACAGCTATGTAGCAAAACTGGAACACAGCCAAAGAACTTAAAGAAAAAAACAAGCATTGAATGTAATGAAACGCCAGTTTGTGGGTGAGACCCGGAGGCTCCATGAAGCTATTATACAGTGATCAGTACCATATTACTAGGTGCCATCAGTCAGGGACGTCTATTAGCCCATCGGGGACCACCAGTCACAACCTGGCCCCATCAGAGATGAGCAGAGAGCTATGGCCTATGAACATTTTACATTTAAAGTTAATACAGAGAGTAATCACACTAATGTGATGCATCAATGAGAAAATCTATAGGAGCCATGATGAGGGTTTGAACATATGTACTGGGCGTTCCAAGGCACACGCTCTAGACGACTCAGCCACGATATGGTGTGCCTGGGAAAACCCAGAAGGCATTGTTAGTACAGTACTGAATTCTGGCAGTATTGAATACTAACGAGTTTCGAGCTAGTCTGAGTGAATGATTTGCAGAGTTGTTTGGTGGTTACTAGGCTTTGTTTTCTGTGAACCCTCCAGTTGTCTGTAAAGCTTCGCTCACTTTCTGCAGATTTGTTCTGGTGGAGTTGTGGATTGCTCACAGAGGTGCAGGGTGCACTTTGTGAGGTTGACAGGTTTTAGCTCGGGTTCCCAATACGTCAAACAGAACTTCTGCAACGGATGTGACCCTTTAGTATACTGTATAGCAATCTCAGGAAGATAGCTTCAGGAAGGCACCAGGGTAACTACAGAAGGCCTATTGGCCCATACAAGCCAGCAAAAACCAATGTAGCATCTCAACAACGTGCCCTAAACATAATACAAAAAAGCACGAGAATTAACACAAAATAAGCCATTACCTTAAGCACTAATTGTAACCCTGAGAGTCTCGGAGGCCAGGGAGCATTGTAATATATTCGTTTCTTTTTCATGGATCCTTCAGAAAACTGATTGACTGAATCAACCTCAGAAAGGCAAACATCATGCACCCGAAGAAAATGGTTCTGAAGGCTTCGGTCGTGCAGCTCAGCCTCCTGAAAATACGGTATACATCATACAAAAATAATCAGTATTGGAAATTAAATAAAAATGAAACAAATGTATCAAATATTTCGAAAAATTAAAAACATTACAAAACACACACATTTAAACTGTAGCCGACTGAGAGAGAGATTCTCAGTGTCTATGCTATACAGTGCTTACCTAATAGTGACATACAGATGTTCCAATATTTTATTAAGTATCGAAGATCTTTTCGAACCTTCGAGATCCTTCAAAATCAACCACAAAATCACGGAGGCTCATATGGGTCCATTGGCATATGTGACCAATGGTCATGCAGGAACCCGATACGATTCGAACATGATTGTGACACGATGCAGAAGAATACATGTCCTAGAAAATAATGGTGAGAAAGTGGTTAAAATTACCTACAGGAAGGACGGAACCGACGACCCGAAAGAACACAGAACCGAACCCGGGGAGGGGCCAACACCAAAACCAACTCGTACATAGGTGGGGGGGGAGGAAAACCCTCACTCTATGTAACAATAAGCCCCACTCAGAGGGTAGGAAAACCCAGACAGGGTTCAATGGGGCCCAAGGCCCCCAAGTCTGCCCCCCCCCCAACCTTGGGAACCTCCTCACCAGGATCTGGGGCCAAATCCTCCTCCAAAGCCCGGGCCTCAAAAGAAAAAGCCAGGGCAGCCGTATAAACACTAAGGAAGGGGGCCTACTGGTCAGACCCATATGCAACAGATGGAGGAACCAACTCAAATGCCTCCATCATCACCCTGGAAGGGGCATCCCCTGAAACTGCCCGAGTCTCAGAATCCTCTAAACCCCAACCCGACCCCGAAGCCCTCAGACGCTTCAGAGCCGGGAGCAAGGGGATAGGGGGGGGGGGAAGACTAATGAACCACATCAGAGGAAGAATGAAGGGGGGGCAGACTGAACCAAAGCCAAAGCGGCCAACACCCCAAAGTCCGGGTCCTTATAAGTAAAGCAGGGCAGCCTAGGGGCATCCGGGGTAGCAATCAACCTAGCACTTTGCAGCAGCCTAAACCTAGCATGCAACGCTTGAACTGCCTGAACACTAAAAAGCCCCGAAATCATCTCAAGATAACCAAGATAACCTACACCCGAATAATGTCGTCAGTTGATTGGGTGAATGGAGTCACAAACAAGCAACAATGCTCGCAGGACTCTGGGTCGAAGGTGTCACTGACCCAACAGGCAGCATGATGAAGGCAAAAACAATGAGCGTCGCCCCGAGACAAGGGCACAGAGCAACCCTCAATCTCGCAAAAAGCGAGAGGGGGACCCAGGAGTCGCATCCATTGGACCCCATGTGCCCCCGCGGGGTTTCCCAAGGCCCTGAGACTGTTATCACTAAAGGTAAGCCCAGGCAGGGTACTACTAACTGGCACCCAAGACTACCAAACAAACTGATATAACTGAACCCCCGGGATGTGTCCACTCACGAGGGCCAAGCAGGGGGTACCACCGAACACAAGAAGTCAAGACTCTAAGATAACTGAGGGGTAGGGGAACAAAAGTAGACCCCCACCAAGCAGAAACAAAATGAAAAGAAAACACCCGCAAGAGGATAACGTACCCAGGAGGAACAGAGCCGGCCGCTGTAATAGGTGAAAACTAGCTGCGTAATACGCCGCGCCCCTACCAGTGCAAAAACTAACACTTATCCCAAGGGAAACATGGGAGGAGGAACCCCCCCCCCCAACACTCCCAGGGCGATCAATTACCAAGCAGCAAAAGATCAACAGAGGTTGACTTCAAGGTGACATGTAGAAGATAACCCCCAAGCCCCAAGGGCAGTACTTACAGGGCACTCAGGGAAGGGGGACCCCTAAGCACATGCAGCCCGAGTACCTGTGAATATTACTCCCCAGCTCGCATGCCACCATTACAGCAGTATTGGACACAAGGAACAGCACAACACAAGAGAGAATCAAGAGTTAGAGCCACACGACCAAGCCTCATCACATCAGCTGAGAACTGGGGTGTGGATAGCTGGCGTGAGAGGTCTGAGGCTCCCCCCTTCCCCCTCCCAGGGAGTGGGGGAGCTGCACAGACAAGCAGCGTGGCACGTATGATGTCATGCTTGTTTGTTCGTTTTCGTTTGCGAGAGTTCTGTCTACTAGTTAGTCTTCAGTAGTAGTTTTAACCAGAACAGGGGTTTGTTTTGAGGGGCTTACCTTTCTGAGTGCCTGGCCTAGTCTATAGCAGACATAGAATGCTCCAAACTACATGTGCACTTCTATAGGCCATTGCTCCTCGTGCCTCGCTGAGGGGGCCAGGTTCTGGCTCGTGTAGGCCTAGAACTCCAATACTTCGTCAAATTAAATAAAGAGTTTACATAAAAATCTAGCAGAGTGTAATGAAACGCCTATTTTCGGTATGGTTTTGGTGGCGCCATCCCTGAAGCTATCTCATGAGATGGCTGCCCCGTACGGAGTCACACCAGCCATAGGAATCCTGTAAGGCCTACTGGGGACCCGAGCCAGAACCTGGACTCCCATCACAAAGGTACTGGGAGCAGAGGATTGTTACAATCACCCACACAGATAACATTGAGAAAGTAAGCACAACAATACAGATAAGTGCAAGGTTCTTGGAAAACAAAGCACTGAAACAGCCAAATGACTCCACAAATCATTCACTCAGTAATGAGCTTATAGCCCTGTAGCTACAAATGGCAACCAGCAAGTAGCACCATCCTGGCAGCTTCAAGTTTCCGTGCCATCTAACCCCAGTCAGGAGCTGCTAGCCCCACAAACCAACAGCACAAGCCCTGTCATCCTCCACAGTGAGGGATACACAGAGCACAGGCAGTTAACACATGGAGCTGCCACTTCTCCACATCCTTGACCAGAAACCCAGCAAACAACCAGTTTTTAAGTGGCACAAAAGTAGCACCACCCAAGAGCAACTACAATCACCTGGAGTATACCTTAAGTGGGTTCTGACAATTCTACTCCCCAACCCTGACCAGTGGCCAGATTTGAGAAGACAGAACTCACTTCCCCACAGTGTCTGGGTTCAGCAAAAGCCATGCCAAGCTCCCAAGGAAAGGAGAGAATTGTCAACAAGCAAGGACAATACAGGGAGTTCGTACCAAAGTCAAAAGGAAGAAGCCAACCTGAATTCAAAGGAGGCCGGGTTCATAAGGAAAGCAAGGTTCTGATCCTGCAAAGGGAATCAAAAGATATCCACCTGAACTGAAAAGCGGGATGACAGAAACCTCCCAATGCAACCAATGGCATTAGTCGTCGAGATGTAAGTCATGTCCTAAGCACATATTGTACTAGTACTCAGACCTTGACAAAGCACTCGGGAGAGTGCGAAAGACTTGGTGTAAATCATTACATAAAATTCACAAAGACATAAGTGTAGGTTTTTATCCTATATTATTATGAGAAGACATTACCATTACCTATTAACTTCAATTCTGTTCAATGTTGTTTCTTGTTATCTTGAGATGATTTTGGGGCTTAGCGTCCCCGCGGCCCGGTCCTCGACCAGGCCTCATTTTTTTGTTACACACCTCCGGAAGCAGCCCATAACAGCTGTCTAACTCCCAGGTACCTAGTTACTGCTAGGTGAACAGGAGCATCAGGGTGAAAGACACTATGCCCATTTGTTTCCGCCTCCACCGGGGATCAAACCCAAAATCTCAGGACTATGAATTCCGAGCGCTGTCCACTCAGCTGTCGGGCCCCTCTTCATCTGTTGTCCATCAAAACAGGTACAAATTGGTCAGAAATCCTGGCCCTAGTTTGCAGGTCTCCTGAAGCCTCTTGTCGAGTTCTTCACACACTTCTTTGTCATCGTGCAATAGTTTCCTTCCCTGTCCGTGTAGTCTAATCACATGGTCTTGTACCAATATTTTCCCTTCATATATGGATATACAACAACTTAAGTTTGCTCTTTGCTGTTGCACAATGTCATTTACAAACTGCTGCTCCACTGCCCTCCTAATTCTTGTGTATTTGTTCCTGACACATGATAGCGCCTCCCTATTTGCCTCTGTGCCCATGTCCTTATATTTTCTATGTCTTTTTTGACTCCTCCTTTTCCGCCTTACACTGTTAAACCACGGGTTTCCCTATTGTCCACTTCTCTTCCAAGAGGTATGAACCGTTCCATTGCTTCTCTGCATTCCTGTGTTATAGGTTCCATCATCTCATTTGCTGACTTTGTGTGAGCACGGTGAGTCAATCCATTACATGTCATACCAAAGACTTGCAGGGAAGTTACCAGTCTCAAATAGAAGAAGAAAGAAACTAGTGCCCATTAAAACTATAGCCTGCAACTTTTGCACTGCCCAGAGAGAGGGACTCTAAACAATAGCCTGGCCTACTAGGGGCAAACTCCCATACTCACCATCGAAGACACTGTCATAGAAAGGGAAACTGTAAGAATGCTTAGGTAAGGGCTTTCCTAAACACATGCAGCTCAAAGTGAACAATAGACAAGTCCACACAACACGTGAGGCTTTAAAAAATACAAAAGCAAATGGCCCCTACAGGACAGTCTCCAAAGGATGCCCCCAACACTTATCTTGAAAAGCAGTGCGACTCGCTACAGCTGATGACTTGGGGAGGTGTGTAATCAGTATGTACAGACATCAGCAACATGGCTGAAGCAAGATAGTGTGGAAGCTGGAAGCTTCTAAGGGTGCTGCCACCTGTTGGTAACATGTTGGTAGCCAGTCGTATCTAGAAGTGGGGCCACCTCATAGAGGCATACACGACTCCTATGGCTGATAAAGACCATACAGGACTTCTATGGCTGATGTATCTTGGTAGCCGGGAGCCATTTCACAAGACATCTTCAGGGAGTCAATGAGGGATCCTCCAGGAAACATTTTTGAAACAATATGAACAAAAACAATTTAAGCAATCATACCTTACTGTCAACTGGAAGTGATGTAACAAAAGAAACCTTAAAGTTGGTTACGAACAAGGTCCCGGAGATCCCTGTCTTGTTGGTCTTCAGAGGTGCAAACTTCAATACGTTGTTAGCTTCCGCTATAACAATCTCTCCTGCACATACATGTAAATGTATTAGCCCTTAGTTACTCATTGTCATTATAGAAACAAATATGAATCAAATATAAGACAAAATGAAACTGTTTTGCAACCTTTACATCATGACTGAATAAGGGTTATGACTGCATGCACAGAAGTTAGTGTGTGTGCTCGTGTCTTCGTTGTTTCCGTAATATGTTGTGCCATTTGGTATGAATTGGCCTTACTATGCTTGCTTATCATTACTTACTGGAGCTGTGCTTTAACTCTTGAATACTGCCTCTCTCACCCTTCAGTCAACTAGTAAACTAGTTCCCAAACCTTACAGATTCTGCTGCATCAATGTATTATACACACACCATAATATTTTCCTGCTCACCCACTCATATGCAATAGTGTTCTTGTCTACCTTGTAAATTTTCCCCAAGTGTTTATTATGTTAAAATGTCTACCATGTTTCTTCCCACTTCCACTTAAAGGATTTCCATAGTCAACAACAGGAAACAGTTATCCTCAAATTGTCCCCCCCCCCCTGGACAAGACCAATTTGAGGGGCCTGTATGTGGCCCCCTTGTATGGGGGGCCCCCACAAGACCAACTTGGGGGGGCCTGTATGTGGCCCCCTTGTACGGGGGGCCCCACCAAGACGCCCCGCCCCAGGATGCAGCCCACAACAGTTGCCTAACTCCCAAGTACCTATATACTGACAGTTGGAGCTAGAGAGCAGTAGACAGCAGAACAACCAAACAGCAAGGGTTGAGCACGTCGCCAGCCAGTCGGTGGTACACAGTGGAAAATTCGCACCTTAGTCAGGTGCTAACCAAGGGCCAGGTCAACTCAGGTCAATGGTGAGGTGGTCACGAGGTTGTCAGATACGATGCTGTCACGCTAACCCACAAGAATTACCTCTTCCTCATCAAATGGAGGCCGAGGATCTCACGTGCCCCGTTCAGCCGTATATAAGATCACATTCAATGGGAGAAGACTCCCATAGTGTGTGGACTGTGGAATGTGTATTGGGGCATGATCAATATTCTGAAGGACGAACATCAAGGACCTCAAAGTCAAGTGGAATTTACTGTGGTAGTAAGAACGGTTTTCTTGTACCCAGCACCTTATCATTCCATTGTCTTCGCCTCTGTTAGATAACATAGTTAGGAATTGTCTTTCTAAAGTGATAAAGTAATGTTTTCAAATTGTCATCCCCCTTTTGTATTAATGGTACCTGCCAATATGTTACTGGGTTTACCATTCTATTTGCCCCCTGGTGACCTAGTACCCTTAATTGTCCTGTTTCCCTACCCCTTCAGTCCCCTATTTAGGTGTTTCAATATTAGTGTTCAGCACTGCTCCCGTTATTTATATAACGGGAGCATATAAATATACTGCCTCTATGGCAGTATATTATTACTTCTATATACTGTAGAGTTTGTAGTGTTATGTGTTGTTATATTATAAGAAGCTTCAGCAAAATTGACAGAGCATAACCCTAAGCAGCATGTCAGGGGAATGTCTAGTATACCCACATAGATTCCTGCGTCAACCTATTTACATGGTCCGAGGCAAATCCCTAGTGGCAAAATTTTCTCAAGATAGAAGAGTCAATGCCATATTTAAACAAATAACCTTTTGATGGTCTCCTCTCAGACTAGCCTCACCTGGTCCTGATCCACGTTGATCATGGGAATCTCCTCAATGCTTGAAACACTTTAAGGGACTTCAAGGGTCCTCATCACATTTATAGATTAGTGACTAATAGACAACTCGGCGTTGGAAACACCTGGGGCTGAAGGCTTAATTAATTGTAATGGCAGTATTCAGATTTGGTTAAAGAGAAACACCGCATAATGCTTGACAATAGTTTATTTATACTTAACTATTAATACAATGGGTGCTTGATTTACTCTAGGTTGGCATCAGCAAGGCTATTATCGCATTGGCGAGACTCTTGACGTCTAACTAATCGATTCCGATCCACTCGTGGACAAAACCTAACTTAACACAAGTGACAGCCAATCACTAACATGGCATACTTAAAATGCCGGTGTACAAAGGGTTACAGGAGTTCCAAACATGATATTCGGGGGTATAATCATGCACAATAAATCAACAATGACACAGTCAATGGGACAGGCAATAATCATGCACAACTTATGACACACAATATCTAAATGTGTGGTGTATGTGAAGCTCTCATTCACAGACAAGTGTAATGTTGTGATACCACACAGAAAAACACGCTTACACCATCAGGTGTCTCGGTTTTCCACGTCTATCTGTGTCAAGTGTTGAGAAGGTGAGAACTGTCGTTGACCACTCAGATCAACACACAGAAAGACACTTAATAAAGAAACAAGATCTTGTACTTACAGGTATGGCTACCTCTCCCTATTCACTCACTCACTCACGCAAATTTATGCAAGACCTCCTAGGTGGCCTGGCAGCTGGTCCTGCACGTTCTGACATGACACTAAGGATGAAAAGCTTTCCCAACACGACAGTACTTGACACGGCAGAGTACTCGCAGAAGGCGTGCAATGTTTCTACATTGACCGCAGGTGTATCTTATGATGTCATAGTTGCAGGTAAAAGACACAGGCGTGTGAGTAAAGGGTGTGACAGGCAGTGACGTCAAGTAGTACAGTGCGGCAGATCGAGTGGTGGTTGGTAGCGGCTGGCGGCTACAAGCTCTGGACTGAGTGGCGGCAGCGTTGGCAGCTAGGTTAGTCACACAGATTACTTAGGCAGCGGCACTTTCCTTAGTTCACTCTAGACCAATGAGTCACTCACAGGGAGATCTCGATCTCACTTTGTTTCCAGGTGTTACCTGATACCAGTCTGTTTCGTTCTGGTGATTTCAAAGACCTTTTATCATTCTCGAAGGCTTCTAAACAATATACAAGCAGTCACAATAGCGATTCTGGGCGAGCACTGATATATCGAGAAGAACGCCGAATTTAACTTGACGGTAAGGGACAGGTAGTGTGTTCCACTCTATTGACCAATAGATTAGAATCACACGACTACCACATACAAATTCCCCCCACGAGAATAACATTGTAAGGGGTTGCGAGCGTCCTCAGGGCACAACCACCAGGCCTACAAACTAGCCAATGGCATTGCAGCAAAGGGGCCAGAACCAATGATACTGATCCTTACATGATGGGTAGAAGAGTGACGTCACGACCACGTCACGACTACGTCACAACTCCTCATCGAGACAGTTGAGATTGACCCCAAAGATCAGAGCTCATCTCTCGCCTCGCTGGTGTTCCCCCTCTCTTCCCACACCTGCACCTTCAAGCTGTGTACTTCCTGACTCACATTTGCTATGGCACAATTGCTTAACTCACCTTTATCTACTTTCTGCCTGGACATACAGCAGCCTTCGTATGATACAAGTATTCCTATTAATGTGGGCATTCTGGGGATGCCAACCATGACAGTCTTCCATCCAGGGGTAAGAGCCTTGTGAACGGCTAGGTGCACTGTGAACAGCAACGAGCCATTCAAGTCAGCTGTGGGAGAACCTTGAGAGACCAGAACCATTCAAGTCAGCTGTGGGAGAATCTTGAGAGACCAGAACCATTCAAGTCAGCTGTGGGCGAATCTTGAGAGACCAGAACCATTCAAGTCAGCTGTGGGCGAATCTTGAGAGACCAGAACCATTCAAGTCAGCTGTGGGAGAACCTTGAGAGACCAGAACCATTCAAGTCAGCTGTGGGAGAATCTTGAGAGACCAGAACCATTCAAGTCAGCTGTGGGCGAATCTTGAGAGACCAGAACCATTCAAGTCAGCTGTGGGCGAATCTTGAGAGACCAGAACCATTCAAGTCAGCTGTGGGAGAATCTTGAGAGACCAGAACCATTCAAGTCAGCTGTGGGAGAATCTTGAGAGACCAGAACCATTCAAGTCAGCTGTGGGAGAACCTTGAGAGACCATACTCTCACACCGCCTCTTTGGCCATAACAAGTCCACCAAGGAACATCATCAATTCCATGGTGTCAAGTATAGGTTATCACTTCATTAGTCACTACATGTCTTAAATTGTGATGAGTAATGGCATATCCTCAAACATGACAATCCATAGAGATGAAACATTTCTTCTGAGGTGGTGACATGATGCATCAGTTTCAAGAACAGTGACACAATGCATCTAAGTTTCAAAAAGAGTGTCACGATCCATCATGGTAATAAGAACAGTGCCAACCTCATAAACAAACCAGTTCCAAAGAGCAAGACACACAAGTTTACCAAGGTTGATGAACATTTTTCACACACAATGCTTGGACATTCTCACAGCATAAGTGGCACAGTGCCACACCTTACACCACCATCGCTGCAAAGTCGCACACGATATAATGCAGCACAATACATTTAACAGAGTATAGGGTAAAGGTCTTATTAGTCATAAAGATGGGTAAAGAAGGCATACACGTGTGTACTTCAAGAACTTCTCCAACTGTCCGAGTTATTGTGAGGTCGCACAAACAAATGATCAACCGGTACCCTCCAGAGACCGGTAATGCCATATATACACTGATTAAATACAATACTGTACTGTAACTGAATACAAAATTGAATACGGCACTCTGAATAATGAATCACTCGGAAGATCGGTTCATAATGGCAACGTCTTGAATGTCTAAGCACCAAGATCCTTGGCATATATATTAACAACAACTTCTTGGATAGGCTGGAGCTCAGGAGGTGACCGAGTTCCAGAGGTATCAAAGTACGAATTGTGATTAATGAACTTTTTATATACCATAACAAGATACCATAAAAAGAATATAAAGAAAATTAAACTGGCAACGACACCAATATTCAAACGGCAAGTTTGATCAAACCCACTTTCCTCACTTATATTTCTACACGCACCACTCAGTCCTTGACTACAAATTAAACTTGGCTCCTCCGGTTCTTTATCCGTGTTTTTCTGGACATTGTTACTTTCACGCACCTTCTTACTATGCTTTATTTCCATGCTTGGAATGTAAGGGAACGACGTACAGTTCAGCATTTCCATATTTCGCCGCATACGTGAAGGAGATACTGCTAGTTGAGAAGATTGAAGACTATAGATACCCTGAGATAAACGAGGCCTTCGAGAAGACACACACGGTGTAGACATCCTTCTTGCGTAGTTTACATCAACGGTCTTTGGAATCGGCGACGAACTATCCAACCTTAAACAATCCTCGTGTGGGTACATGCACGAAGATTCATAAATAGATGACCCTTCACTCTCATGGCCACTTTTAAAGTTACTTCTCAGAGAATGACTTGGAGAGTAGTTTGACTGTAAATAATTACTTCTTACGGAAGGACTCGGAGAGTGTGTTACATGTAGGGTTGGCCTCAGGTGGGATTTGCTGCCAGTAATAGCACTAACACCCAACTTTGGGGAAGGTGATACAGATAAAGAATGCACTGAAGTAGAATTATTCCCATCACTCTTGGTGTTCTCTCTATCAACATTATGATGAATTTCTGCAACATCCAGAACAATTCCCTGTTGAACTGGGTTCTTGTATTTTCCCTTGCTCGACCTTTTACTGGTGTATTCAGCAGGAATCTTGCATAAATCCCTTGCAGAGTGATAAGAGAGCTGAGAAAAACTTGTTTCCATGTCCTTTTCCTCTGTAAACGACGAGGAGTGCCAACGGGGACTAATTGACCCAAAAGACTCCAATGTACGTGGTGGTGACAGTAATGTTCTAGATTTGCTTGGGCATCCCTGAGAAACTTTTATTCGAGAGGGACTCGATACGTTTATCTTTACTCTATTACATTCGGTGTCAAATTTCTCGTTAATATATTCAGCCATCGTGAATTATTTGATTGGCACCTGTAATAATACTGTGCTTGATTGAATATGTTATCCTCCTTGATGGGCTACAGTCACTCACTGCTACATTCATCCTATTATGTCATCATTTGAGCTAACTCATCAACTTCATGCATTAGGGTTTTTAAACAGTATAAATATTTGTGTTTAAATGTCTGATGACCCCCCTTTTCTAATAAATTTCTTTATTTCATGTGTAATGACTTCATTCACATACAGTTTAACATTTCTGAGCATAATTACTAAGAAAAATGTTTAAGAAATGCCACACATGCAGAAAGATAGGTAATTTTTACCAATTTATCACTTGGTATTCAACACACTCGCATATATGTTCAGTAATACTGTAGCACTAAGTTTCACTTTACCATTTCAGTGCCTGAAAACGTCTGTATTCAGTAATCACAAATACAATAAACATTATAACGGTGGCAATCATAGCCATCATAGTGTACACACAGTACATCCTCGTACAACTGTGGTGGTGGTGGCAATCATAGTCGTTACGGTTTACACAGAGTACATCTTCGTAGAGTTGTTATGGTGGTAGCAACCACAATGTTCACACAGTATATCAACATAAAAGTTTAACTAGGTAACCATAGCCGTCAGTGTCCACCGAGTATAGCCTCGTTGAATTCAGCATGCTGTGTGTCTCGCCATCTACAATTAGTCCACTGATGCAATATCCAACAAAGTCAATACGAGTTACATGCACAACATGTGGGAGCGCAACCCTTCAGAGTATCAAGTGGCCACCTACACCAATGTACGCTAATACAAATACACAACTTGAACCCGTGGTGAAGCCTTACAAGCACCCTCCCTCTCAACCAGTAAGTAGGTCACCAAGCTAATACTGTCAATTTACACCTTCCTCCAGTACATATGCACCCGCTTAAATTGCCTTTTCTTCTCTTCTCCCAGACAATTGATCCCTACAATTGCACCAGAAGTTGTACCCCATTGTAATAAATATATAAATAAATAAATAAATGTAAATTTATATATATATATATATTTTTTTTGCAATTTTGGAACTGCTACCAATGTTACACTAATAATGTTCGTGTGCTCTTGTATGCATGTGTGTGTGAGATGGGAACAGGAACAAAGTGAATGAAAAATGGAATCTGCCATATAATTACTCTATTAATGTGCTAACAATTTGCATACATTTATACACAATACAAGAAGAGGGCAATACTATTGCTGACAACAGTAATGATGTTGATGCCGTATGATGTCACTGGTAACAATGTATATAATTCAATGTTAATAACTAACCTGGGAGAAGGTCCGGCTCAATCTTCACCTCAACAGTTTCTTCAGGCACATCAATGGGCCGCTGGAATAGGAGGAAATAATTATTTCCAATGACTCAAAATAGGAATGAGATGGCTCTTGTTTATATCCACCAAAATATCATTCATATACTGTATACTATACTATGTATTTTTCAAACCTATGCCTGAAACCCTTTAGTGATCCCAAATCTAATTTCTTGCCCAGTAATTTGTATTATAAATCAACCCCCTTATTTACAAATCAGTACTGATGCCAGTCTTTCCTGAAACTAAACTTATCCAATTTATACCCATTGTTTCGTGTATTATTTCCGTGTTTGCGTATCACATATAACTGACAATTCTAAGAAATTAAATGTTTGATGATGTCTAATAGACTAATTCCAATCCATTCCATTCATCTGGGCTGTAGGAGACTCGAACAATGGACCCCACGTGTGTGAAGCTGAAGCTTCGGCCTCACACACGTGGGGTCGACAGTTAGTCTCTCGTAGAGCCCAGTGAATGGAATGTTTATTTCCACGGAAGTGTGGATGACAATTTATTAGACTAATTCCAAAGTATAAAAGAGAGCTAGAAGACAGTTCACAAAATTTTCATACATACACGATGCATAAAATGCTCTGGATCTCGGTTTAGAAAAAAAAAATCTTTGATGACTAAACCAGACACCAAAATATGAAGAGACAACGACGTTTTGGTCCGTCCTGGACCATTATCAAGTAATTGAGATGGGAGCAATCTTTGGTCGTTTGAGCAACAAACACCTGACAGACCAACTTGTCACATGTTAATTTAAGTTAGGAAAGATTCAAATGAATATTTAACAAATTTACAAAGGCTAATTGACTTTTCTGAGAGCTATTCAAGAGTGTTAATGATATGCATTATTAGCAATAAATGTAATTTAATTAAACAAGAAAAGATTACCGCACTTTGAATGTTAAGTTCACTTTGACAGTGAAACAAAATCAGTGATGTACAGTACTGATACTGTCATATTAATTGATCCTATTTAACCCTCTCAGAGTGGCCACCATTACCATTGTAATCTTGCCTGGACACAAAAAAAAAATATATATACAGTATATATTTTTTGCTCAAGCCAGGTGACAATTTTGATAGACATCCATGTGCTTTGCAAACGCCGTCTATCCGAAAATGCCAGTTTCCCGATTGGGGTTGGTTCGGATGCTCAAGTTGGGGAAGCACATAAAATGTTCGCATAATATGGTTCGGGTATCTCATCAGACAAGCGTACGCCAGGCCTCGCAGCATGGGGTGGTGGTGGGTGGTTGGGTGGGAGATGGGCATAGCTTGCCCACTGACCATGTCGGGCACCACTCTAGTGGCGTCATCCCTGTAACGTCACAGATTCACGGCCCATTGTTCCCATTTTGTTTTGATTTGTTATGAGACTGGAGTGTTCATTCCGTGACTTTGTTGTATATCATCACAATCTAGGAACATCCGAACACCATGTCAGTTCCAAATGCACCCATTGTGTCAGTGAAAGCTTCAACAAGCTGGATACATAAAAGAAAGAGGTCAGTGATGACATTTGAGAAGAAAGTTGAAATAATTAAGAAGGTGGAGAGCAGAGTCCAGAGTAGTGTCGTGTATGCTGAATACGGCATTAGTAAAAGTTCTGTTTTTGATCTTAAGGCTAAACTTATACTTTTTTACTATTTCTCTAGAAGTGCAAGTGATAAGGCAATACAAAACAGAAAGGCAGCAAGTAAAGCAAAAGTGGAGTGTTGATAATACAGTGTGGCAGTGGTACAAACACAAGCGTGAGGAGCAATATTTCAGCAATATTTTGAAGGCATTCTGACATTTATGGAAATGAGTAACAGTCAGTTTGAAACTAAGGACATGATGAACCTGTACAATTTGTATATCAAGTTTTTAAAAACAAAAGCAGAGGGAATGAAGCAAATATAAATTAAAGAGTCTTTAGCAAAGGCTTCCAAGAAAGCTGGCATTGCCTCACCTGCACCCGACTCATCACACGTTGACCCAAGTATGTCAACATCTGAGGTCACCTTATCACTATTAATCTCCACTTCAGTCAACCCAACACCAAAATCCACCACCACCTCTTCCATGTAAATAACTATGCTCCATCAATAATGATCATCAAGATAGCAAGTGGATCAGGACTTCTTGTATTGGTAAGTACAAACAAAATACTGTACTGTTGAATTTATGCTATGGACGTGCCAATTTTTTCCATCGATTTTAAGGCCATTTATACGAATACAACAGGTTAACTGACAGGTCTCAGACCCAAAGGGTTCATAAAGCACAGAGTTGTCTGTAACAGCCTCTCTTTACGGGTTAACAATTTTGAGGCACCTAGAAGAAATTCTACACAAAGTTACCATGAGAGTGGGGTTCTTAAAGAAAACAATGCATCATAGGTAGATAGATTAGCAAATCAGAATATCTTTGCAACTAAAATACAGTATAATGATGATAATTATACAAGCATTAATAATTTTTCACAATAAGAAATGTATTGTTTACAATTCACTCTAATAATAATCATATCAAAATATATAAATGTTTAAATATCTTTTGATTGCAACCATCTGAAAAAGGTATTCTTGGTTACCTATGACTCAAAATGGTTCACTTCAGCCTGTATTGCAATGTCTAACATCTTGCAACATCCTCACCTTATCCCTGATATCAATATTCACATTCATTTCTAAACTCTCTTATCACCAGCTCTACAGCCATCTGATCCTTCATCACTCATGCATAGCTACATTTAATTTAACATTTTAATTCTAGTTCCTCATGTACGTGTCCTTTATTAAATTCCTTAGCTAACTTCAGGTTAATGAGATTTTACACCTAAAGTATTTAAGAACAGCTAGTTCACCTTTCAGTCTCTCACTGAAATGAGACTTTAAGGTGCACTGGCTGAACTTAAAAAGTTCAGATAGAAAATCTCCTTAGTGTGAAGTTATACTGTATAATCAAATCATACCCAGGCGTCTCGACAAAGCTTGTTTTCCGACTGTCAAAACTGGTCAAAATTGGTGAATAGTTTTATGTACAATGTGACTTGTGTTCCCTCAATTGCACAACCACTTGGGGTGGACAGTAGAGCAACAGTCTCGCTTCATGCAGGTCGCCATTTAATCCCCAACCGTCTAAGTGGTTGGGCACCATTCCTGCCCCCCTCCCCCCACCCTCGTGCCATCCCAAATCCTTAACCTGACCTCTTTAGAATGCTATATACCTGTAGTCGTAATGGCTTGGCGCTTTCCCCTGATAATTCCCACCCTCCCTCAATTATCTGAACTAATTTCTTATGCATTACTTCCTGAACAGTAATTCTTGCTTCTAAACTCACCTGGCAGCTGTGTGCTGTTTCTCCTGCTTCAAAACCTTTCATTTCACCCACAAAAATAACGATTCCTCGAGAATCTGAGGGACAATTGAGCACAGCTTGGACACAGTCCCATGAATGTAATGGGACGGGGAAAGCAGCCAAACTAACGGGAGAGTTAGTTTAGTCCATTTATTATGCACCCCATATCCATCATGTGGGGGGTAGTGGGGCGGGTTACAGAGGCACATAATGGGCTCAGGGACTGAACCCCACAATTCATTGAGCTAAGGGATGTGGGTGTTCTTGGTTGTCAAAGGTAGACAAGTCAGTTTCATCCACAAACTACAAATTGGTCTTGCAAAAACCCTACAATTTTGTATCTGTTTTATGCTTCTTGCGTCTTCTTGTCCCAATTAGTGGAACACTACTAACATACTTCCCAAGTCATTATGATGCACATAATTAGTGATTATATATAATATACAATTACTGTATCTACTAAGTAACACTAACATTATCCTTTACATATCTCATAAATAAAATAGTATTACTATGGTTATGACCTCTGGTGTTCACTCTGGCGAGCACAAGTGTAGTCACAGGATGAGAGTTATGCTCGTGGTGTCCCGTCTTCCCAGCACTCTTTGGCATATAACGCTTTGAAACTACTAACGGTTTTGGCCTCCACCACCACCTCACTTAGCTTGTTCCAACCATCTACCACTCTGTTTACAAAAGAAAACTTTCTATTATTTTTTCAGCACCTTTGTTGCCTTAGCTTGAATCCGTGTCCTCTTGTTCGTGAAGTTCCTGGTTTCAAGAATTCCTCTTTGTCAATTTGGTCGATTCCTGCTAGTTTTTGTAAGTGGTGATCATATCACCTCTTTTTCTTCTATCTTCTAGTCTCGGCATGTTTAACGCCTCTAGTCTCTCCTCGTAACTCATGTCTCTGAGCTCTGGAAGCCATTGTGTGTGCATGCGGTTGTGTGCAGTTGAGTGTGGTTGTGGTAAGTGCCTCCGTTGTTTGCGTTACCCAGGGAGCACCACGAGGAGGTAACGGTAGGACTTGCTCCCCTTTAGATTTTTCAGTGAAAAGATGATTATTAAATTAAAAACATGATTATTTTACTGTAGTGTACTTAAACTGTACTCTTACTTGCAAAAACAGTTTGTGACATTTTCATGTGTGTGTGCCAGAGTTCAAATGAAAACAAATTCAGTGCTTTTACCCTACATACTACCATAATGAGATCTTGTTTTTAAGGATTTTCACCCATTTTGCCTTTTATTACTTAATTGTACATTAAGTATTATGTCTGCCAGCAAAATTATCATGGCAAGACAAGGTAGGAGGAAAATAATAGTTATAAACCCAGCAGTGAATGTAATGAAACACCAATTCCTGGAGGAGCCCCGGTGGCTTCCTGAAGCTATCTTCCAGATATTGCTTCATACTAAAAGGTTACATCTGGTGTGGCTAATTCTGTTTGGCCTACTGGGGACCAGAGCCAGAACCTGGCCACCCCTCACAGAGGCATAGAGAGCAGGTGACAATCAGCCACCTCAACAGAAAAAGCCTCCAGGAAGTCAGGACAGTTTTACAGACAACTGGACTGTTTACAGAAAACGAAGCCTCAAAAAACTTCCAAACAACTACCGTAAACAAGTCACACAGAACAAGGGACTCAAACTAGATCAAAACTCATTAATACTGATTACAGTACCTACCTTGTGGTGATTCCGAGGACCTATGTCCCCACTGCCCAGTCTATGCTCAGGCCTCCTGGTTTGGTGGTTTAGTCAACCAGGCATGGTTGACTAAAGCTACTCACAGCTTGGTTGACTAGTTATCCTTTGGAAATGTTTATCAAGTACTCTCTTGAACACCGCGAGAGGCCATCCTGTTATGCCACCTATGTGTAGAGGAAGGTTGTTGACAAGATCAAACCCGGGTCGCAGCTGGCACCCCAAGTCAGTTGTGGACCTGATCAACAAACCCACAATGAACTGACAAACCTGGAGGGAAAGGGGAGGCACGAAGCCACTGGGGCTCCTCCAGAAACTGGCGTTTCATTATATTCAAAGCTGGACTGCTGAAGGGAGCCCTTGTGAGTCCCTGAAGCTAATCTAACCCAGAGAACAGAAAAGTGACTTACCAGAAAGAGGTCGAGGCAGCAGGCATTCAAGAGAAATAAGAGAACCCAGGGCGGGCAACACAACCCAGAGCCACACATACGACCAACTGGACCCAGGAACATTAACCAAATATCAGCCACCAGCACCCTGTTTGAATGCCACAACCACCAAGCCTGAATACCCAACCAGTCCTCCTACAAAGAACGTTGCTTTTCGTGTGCATGCGTTACATAAGGCCAAAAATCACTATACTAGAAAATGGAAGCGGCTTGCAAAAGTGACGTACTGTCACATTTCCTGTTTTGGGTCATCTGGTAGGTTAGGATTAGGGCACTCAAGTTGACCATTTTCTTGACGTTGGGAAACCTTAGAATGGGCTGGAATATCAGCCCATGACATACTAGAGACAGCAACAGCCAAAGCCTCATACTGTACTTACAAACATCATGAACACTGCAGACAACCTGGGAATTGTGAGCCTTGGAACAGGGAACCAAGGAAACAGGATGAAACAATCAAGCATCCACTGAAAGAGAAGTGGTGGCATGCAGGAAGCTGAGGCTGCAAGCAGCCACATCCAACAGCCTGGTTGACCACTCCGGTAACCAGGAGGCCAGGGCGAGGACTGGCCATGGGGACACTAAGCCCCATAATCATCTCAAGGTAACCAAGGAAGAAGAGCCGCCACAGGTCAACAAATGATGCACCCCCGGCTGAAGCAACTAAGCACTAATCTCCCTGCCTCCAGAGAAGAGCCTGAACCTCCCTAACCTGACAGTCAACTAAGATAAGCCAGAAAATCAGATTAGTATGTTAAAGTAACATTATGATTGCCTAGGTTAATCCAGTAAAGCAGTATTGATTTATTGAAGACCATAAGGGGAGGGAATTATCTGGGGAAAGCGCCAAGCCATTATGACTATTTAGCACTTAGAAGGGGGTCAGAATAGGGATTTGGGATAGGACAGGGGGAAAGGAATGATGCCCAACCACTTGGACGGTGCCCGTGCCACCTCTTGGGTGGCTTAATCTTCATTAGTCAATCAACTTGGATGGTCAGGGATTGAATACTGATCTGCATGAAGCGAAACCATCGCTCTACCATTCACCCGAAGTGGTTAGATGTTGAAGGTCGGGAGTGATCATTTACTATATTTTGAAGTTCAATGAAGCTAGCAAAGCCAAGCTACTATTTCAAATGTTTATTTTTCTTAGTAAAGCTTTTTGTTAACTTTAAATACTGCATTTCTATTTGCTTCTATTCCAATGCCACATCTGACCTATATGAAAGCTTTAACAATAATATATTGACCACTGAGTAAGTAGAGAAGCTTGGAGAGATTGGGAAGTGTAGCCTCGTACCTTGGAGAACAACTGTGCCGCATGGAGTGTTGGCGAAATCTTTTCCTTCAGCACTGGGCGTGTCAGTGATTATCCTCGATTATTACTAAAGTATCAGGGTGAGCGGGTGGCCGGGATCATCACATATAATCACCTTGACACCATGTCCTGCCTCCGACCATCAGGGGACAGAGTGCTCGCCTGAGTCCTTAGGACAGCTGCCAAGGTCTGTGTGTTTTTACTGGTGCACACATGGGGCTAAGTGCTGACTTTAGTACGAGATTACAGGAGTGTAGGTAAGATAGAAAAAGATATTCTCGTAGCCTTGAACCCTGTAACAAAGGAAGTTGGGGCGCTGTAGAGGGCAGTGACAGTGTATCATCTGCATCCCTCTCACCAATATATAGTTACTCTCCTTCATGCAGACGATGAGTCATGATAACGTGGCTGAAGATATGACGACCAAACCACACACCAGAAGATGAAGAGATGACGACGTTTCCGTCCGCCGTAGACCATTATAGAGTCGATTCCTCTTCTTCTTCTGTACCACGAGCTACTTAGGGGTTCAATGGCAATATTTGTTGCTTTACATTCATTGCTTCAGCTCTGGGAGGCCACTAATAGACTTCCTGTGCTTACTTATTAGTTACTACAGGTCTAGCCCTTTAGGACCCATTTAATAGGTCTAGCCTGTTATGACCCATTTAATAGTTCTAGCCCTTTATGACCCATTTAAGAGCTTTGTTGCATAACAATTTAGCAATGCAGATAATGTTAAACAAATTAAATACTCCGCCCACTTTTATAAGGCTAAAGGGGCCATCAATTAGTTCTTTAAACGTTGTTTAATGTCAACAAATCTTTTTTTGACTAGTTGTATATGAAAAGGGCTGCAATTGTTCCAAGTTTCAGCAATTGTTCAGAGCCTAAATAGAAAGGGAGATTTTTTTTCAACGAATTTTATACATTTTCAATAAGAATCTACAACCACAAGTTTCAAATGAAATCATTTCTATGACACACTTATATCACATTAGCATATAATAAAGGATCTGCTTTAGTGGATTTTCCAAAATATTGGTATGTTTAGTTTTACTAATACAAATAGTTAAAGTTCCCCCAAAAAATTATGCAAATATATCATGTTTGTTATTACAGTATTATAAAATCAATAAAGGAACTTAGGGAAAAAAAGCTCCATATGGATTGTAGAGACACAAAGTCTACATATAAGGTATAAGTTTCATGTAAATTGAATAACAAATGAAAGAGTTACATGAATGTTTATGTTACTTGAAAATAAATATATAAGTAAAAAATAAAGTTTAAGGTGCTGCCATCTGTGGCTGAGGTTGACATCAACCAATTTCCTCCAAAATTGGCACCATTACAGATAGGCCTACGTGCAGTCACGTGTGTAAGTTTCATGCAAATCGTCCGATAAACAAATAAGAAAAAATGAAAAAAAAAATCAATTTTTTAACTAAATTTTTTTGGATAAAACTAATTATTAAATATTTGTATTATATGCTATTGTGACAGCTGAGAGTCATAGACATCATTTCAGTTGACACTTGTATTTAAAGTTAAATTTTTACCATTTTGGAAATTTTTGACACATTCAATATTTTTTCTCCCTTCCCATTTACACTACGATGCTGAGACTTGGACCAGATGAAACCCTTTTCATATACTAATCATCAAAATAGTTTGATTGAAATCGAACTAGTTTTCATTTATTGCACATTTCTGCCATATTTGGAAGTGATGCCCCGTCAAACATAACTGTTAGGCTTGCTATTTCCAACATACAACACATATAATTCACAACAATAAGTGTTGTAAATGTGACGATTGCTACAAACCATTTTGTCTGAAATCTAGGGGTGGGGGGGGGGGGGGAACATTTTGGGCAAAGTCCCACGGGACACAAGTTAGGGGGGGGGTAGAGGGGCCCTGGGTGATCGTAGTCATCATAGGCAGGTAAACGTCAAATGGCATTCAAGACGGAACCTAACCAAGGACAACCTAAGCTAACACGGCCTTAACAATATATTGCGTATACGATTTTTACAATTACAGACGCAGCTTTGTCGCAACGCCCTAGTACGATGCAATCGAACTCCGGCGAGATTTGGATATACTTCTCCCTGGGGTACTT